GATTGAGATGAAGCGCTAGATTCAGCCATATTTCTATACAGTGATTTAATCTCAATACAAAACTCCTTTTCAGTGGTCCAATAAGGCTGACACTGCATTTTCCAAATTAAAGACTCTGTTTACATCTGCCCCTATCTTGGTACATCCTCAGCCAGAATTGCCATTTACTGTAGAGGTAGATGCTTCTGATTCAGCTGTTGGGGCTATACTGTCTCAAAGGACTGGACCTAAGATGTTGTTACATCCATGTGCCTTCTATTCCCGCCAGATGTTACCAGCAGAAAGAAATTATGACATAGAGAATAAAGAACTTTTGGCTATAAAAGCTGCCTTGCCGAATGGAGACATCTCTTGGAGGGAGCCACCCATCCAATTACTGTCCTCACAGATCACAAAAATCTGGAATGTATTCAATCCGCTAAGAGACTGTCAGCCAGACAAGCACGCTGGTCCCTATTTTTCTCAAGGTTTAATTTTTTTATTTCATACCGCCCTGGTTCCAGAAATGGCAAGGCGGATGCCTTGTCTAGGATAGCTGACCCCCTCCATACTACAGTAACCAAGGCCACCATCTTGCCGGAGAGCAGATTTTTAGGAGTTACCTTTCCTTCTGATCTAATGTCTCGCATTAAAAAGGGCTACTCTAAAGATCCAGTTTTTCGTGATCCTCCTCGTGATCTTCATATGACCATGCTTAATGGGTTTTGGATTTTTCAACAACGTCTGTTTGTTCCAGAATCAGTGCGACTGGACGTTTTACGCCTCTACCATGACTCTAAACCAGCAGGTCATCCAGGAATCCGAAAGACACAAGAACTACTTACCCGATCCTTTTGGTGGCCTAAATATTATGAGGATGTTAAGAAGTATGTGTCCTCTTGTGATGTATGTGCCAGACATAAGACTCCTCGCTCATCCCCTGTTGGCTTGCTTCAGCCTCTTCCGATTCCTCATCGTCCCTGGGGATCTATATCCATGGACTTTATTGTGGAACTACCTCCCTCTAAGGAACACACTACCATTCTTGTTGTTGTGGACCTGTTAACTAAGATGAGTCATTTCATACCAGCTCGTGGTCTCCCTTCAGCTAAACAGACTGCTGACCTAGTTATTCGGGAAATATTTCGCTTGCATGGAGTGCCTGATGAAGTAATTTCTGACAGGGGAGTGCAGTTTACATCTCATTTTTGGAAATATTTTTGTTCTATTCTAGGTATTAATGTAAATCTGTCTTCAGCTTTTCATCCACAAAGTAATGGACAGACTGAGCGAACCAACCAGACTTTAGAACAATATTTGCGGTGCTATATTAGTTACCTGCAGGATGACTGGCTGGATTTTCTACCCACGGCGGAGTTTGCCTATAACAATGCCCAACACTGCTCCACTTCTCTGAGCCCATTTTCTGCCAATTATGGTTACCATCCAACCTTTCTAGTGAGTCTCCCAATTACTACTTCCATTCCTGCAGTCACTGACCGGATAACTGCCTTACGAGATTCCCAAGAACTGTTGAAGGAGACTCTTTTGGAGGCTCAGGAATGTTACAAAAGGGCTGCTGATAGGCACAGAAAGGAAGCCCCAGTTTATCATGTTGGTGACAAGGTTTGGCTATCAACAAAGAATCTTAAGCTTAGGATTCCTTCTCATAAATTGGGTCAAAAGTTCATAGGACCTTTTGAGATCATCGCTCAGATCAATGCAGTCACCTTCCGTCTGCAACTTCCGGATTCCATGAAAATACATCCGGTGTTTCACGTGGCACTGCTTAAACCTTTTCATGAAAATACTTTCCCTGGTCGAGCCTTGCCTGCCCCACCACCAGTCCTCGTGGATGGTGAAGATGAATACGAGGTGGAAAAAATTCTTGACTCCAGGATCTTCCGCAACAAGCTTCAATATTTGGTTCATTGGAAAGGCTATGGTGAGGAGGATAGATCGTGGGAACCAGTGGACAATATTCATGCTCCTGATCTTCTTCAGTCTTTTCATGCACAGTACCCTGCTAAACCAGGAAATAGGGCATCCAGAGGCTGCGCCTATAGAGGTGGAGGTAATGTGAGGAACTGACTCTGCTGGGTTTCGAACCCTGGTTTACATGGTGCTAAACCTCTTCCTTACCTGTACACCAGCCTGCCTTTTGAAAATTTACCGAAAATCTGATACCATTGCTTGTAGAGTCAAGATTATCAGTGACAACTCTCTTCAGCTGTGTCTGGTCAGGTGTCTGGTTCTTGGCCTATAAAAGCCACTTCCTGTCTCTGCACCTTTGCCAGATTATTGTGGTTCCTGTACTCTCTAATCAAGCGTGTTCCTGTTTCTCCTTCCTGTTGCTGAATTTGGACTGTTTTGACTTTGCTGCTTCTCCTTCCCACTGACCTCGGCTTGCCTCACTACGATTATCATCTTTCTGTTCCAGTCTCCCATCTCTGCTTAAGACCAGAAGGCCACTCAAGGCTCAGGGGCTCAACCACCTGGGTAACGAGTGGCTACCTCTGGCAGAAAACATTGCTGATCTGGCTACTGGACTCCAAAACTTTGTAACATCAATATCATTACAGGCAGCCACTGCGACTGTTCAGGAGTTCGAAGAACCAATGTTTAAAGTGCCAATAGGAACAATTAGGGTCTCTCAGCCAAAATAAATGAACAGGGCCATCGTCACAGGGTAAAAGGCTGGCCAGTAGTCCCCTCCAAGACCCAGTGGCGAAGTTGCTTTCATCACAGCACGGGTCACTGATTGTGAGTTTGTGGACCATTGAATGTGAGTGAACGTGTGTGTGTGTGTGTATATGTGTCAGTGATTGCATTTGTGCACAAAGTTTTTATTTTAAAAAAAAAAATCAATACATTTAAAGGAACATTTAAAATACCCACTTCCCTGGAGAGGTGGTAACATAAATATTTTAGGTAGATCAGAAATGGAGTGGGTATTTTGCTTACAGACCCTAGCACCCCAAGGCTTAAATGTGGATCTTGATTTATTTAATTTTTTATAATACCTATTGTTTTAAGTTTTTGAATCATCTTATTTATTTTACACAATTTCTGGATTTGGTTCATTTATTGTCTTTTGCTATCATGTTGGGGCTATCCTATTCATAGTTGTTACCTACGGCATTATAGTCTAGGATGTCCCCAACATGACCGCATTCCTTTTAATATGTGCTGTATTAATTTCTTTAAAATTATATTTGCTAAAATTTATGCTTATGAACAATTTCAATATATTTTAATTTTATAACTTCTAAAATTTTATTTATATATATATTTTTATTTTATGCATCTTAACTTCTTTTATATGTATGCCCACAACCAACATGGCTTCTTTCACCAATGCCTTTCTACATAGCCTTTAACATACATATCTCTTAACCAATCAGTTGGAAAATACCACCATCATTTTAATGTTTTATTTTCTTTTTCTCCCATATGCTGATATATTCAGTTAGATTGAATATAAGATTTTATTTCCAAATCGCTTATATAAATTTCTTAAATTAATGGCGGCCGGACGCCCTAAAACTACATGCCCCATGCGGCTATGCGCCGCCTATTTCTTCTGTGCCGATCGCGTGACCCGCGCATTACACTTCCTCATTTGCCGCGGGTCACATGACGCATTTCCAACCCGCCCCCTATGACGTGCGTACCGCTAACCATTAGTATGGCCGCACTCCTTTCGTGGCCAAGCCCCCCTCTCACTTCCCATTTCAGCACATTTGTGCTGGCGCCGGTCACGTGACTCGCGCACTACATTTCCCATAGTGCTATGCGAGTCACGTGACGCGCCATATTTTTAACAACATTACATTTAAAGTTAGAATCCTCGTTTTACATTCATTTTTTACCCTAAATGATTGTGGTATATGGTATTTGTATTATACATACTTTTAGTTACTATTTTATTCCCAATTGTAAATTTTAGTTTTTAAATGTACAATGCATTGCTCTGATTGGCTATTGACTAATGATGCTATTTTGGCACCATTTTTAAAGTACCAATGCACCTATATATACTCTCTATTTGCCAGGTTTTAATATTATTCCATTTTGATAAAGCCCTAGTGGTGAAAGCGTTAATGGTCTTATAATATTGTGTATTTTATATAATAAATGATTTTTGGCTATATTTCTGCACCATTATCTTTTTACACACAATTTTATTTTATTTTTCCTGGCATTTTACTTATTCTCCAAAACCTATCCTGAGGTGGGGATTATACCACCAACGCTATTACAAGAGTGCAGTGACGCCTGCACTCCATTTGTGAGTATATTTTATTTTATCAACTATTACATCATATCATCAGAGAGCACTATTTGCTGTTTTTATTCTCCTCTTCTCCTGAGAGTTGGACATCACCTTCTGGAGGACAAGCATCTACATATCCTATAAGCGGGGATGATTCCGCTGTATGCCTGTTATACCTGAGCTGGCCATAGCTCATCCAAATGTGAGTGTAATATTTCTATCTTAATTTATTTAACATTCACCTTATACACTCCGCACGATTGGTCCTCTCTTCTTGTGTCTTCCATATCACGAGACGATCTGAACTACTAGAAACATAGAAGACACTCCACCAGCTGAAACAGTGACTAAGTCAATTTAACCTCTGATATTTATTGGGACTTTTTATTTTATTTATTTATAATCTTTTTAGTATTTGTTATTCTTCTTTTTTTGGGGCGCAGCCTTTCTTCTTCTTGTACATTTTAACATAGAGGTTAGAGGGTTACCCTCTGTAAGGTTGCTGCCTATATATTGTATTATTAGTCCTAACCTACTTTTTTAATTTCTTCTTTGTTTGCAATTTGACTATTTTTTCTTAACTATAAAATTAATTTAGAATTCCTCACAATTCTATGTGATGTGATGACAGGGGTGGAACATATGGGTTGGGCATTATGATGTCACACCATGGGTGGAGTGTATGGGGCAGCAAAATCTTTTTTGCCTAGGGTGGCAAAAGTCCTTGCACCGGCGCTGGATAGAGCTTCACCTCGATTCGTGGTTCTCATCCCATCTTGAAGGCCTCACTTTCATGTGTCTAAAGAATTGGAGCTTGACTACCCTCAATCTGATCTCAGCCATGGATGTGCTAGCAGGAGGCGTTCTATTTTACACAGCTACTCGTATACCCATTATCAAAGATTGGTGCTTCTTCAATGGGGATTTTAAGCCCTGCCCGCACTGTGTAAGGAGGATTGCAGATAGGGAAAGGTGAATTGCTTAGTGTATGGCTTTTTTTTCCTGATATTGGCATCATATATCTCTGTTTAATCTGTTTTAGTCTCTCTATATATATGTCTGTCTCTCTATATATCTGTCTGTCTGCTCTCTTTTAAGTTAAATAGTTTATAAAAGAGTAAGTCCTGCATATATTGAATTATTTGCATTTGTCTCTTAATGCCCAGATGGAAAGGCTATCCTTCAAGCCATGGTTCCCCAGAGGTTTCCTCTAGAAGAGGTTTTTCTTTACCTGAGGGCTGAAGGATGACTCTTTGCGAGTACAGAGGTCACATCTTGGCTGTGTTCTAGCCAAATTTATATTAATATCCCAGATTCCTACATATATATTGGGACCTAAGTCTTCGATTTCCATATTAGAGATGGTAAAATTAAATGAATACTGTTAAATATACTTAATAAATGCAACTTTAGTTTATATTTATGCCTCGTGTTCATATATTTAAAGGAATAATTGAGAAATTGGTTTTATCTAGAGGGAGTAGATGGCTACTGTTATGAGTAGAGATCAACAATCTTGAATTGTTGGTACGGTGTTTTACTTAAAATAGAAAAGTCTATTTGGATATATATTGATCTTGTAATGATCAAACTGTAATTACTCTGTCATGGTTTACTTAATGCAAAAAAGTTATTAGTAGTGTGACGCGGGTAGGAGGGGGTGAAGTGGGCGTGCCAGTGGCTTAAAAACATAATTGATGTTTATATATATACACACACACACACACACACACACACACACAGTGGCGTACACACAACCCATGGGTGCGAAAACTGATCCGTGGGCATACTCTGCGTGGGCTGGGGCCACAACACATGGCGGTGGGCACCTGGTTGCAGGGGTCGCAGGGCTGCGACCGCGGTCTGTGCGCCAGTGCATGCAGATACACATACACTTAAAGGACCACTACAGACACCCAGATCACATCAGCTCAATGAAGTGGTCTGGGTGCCAGGTCCTTCTAGTTTTAACCCTGGAGCTAAAAACATAGCAGTTTCACTGGGGGTTAATCCAGCCTATAGTGGCTGTCTCATTGACAGCCACTAGAGGAGCTTCCGCGATTCTCACTGTGAAAATCACATTGAGAAGACGCTGAACGTCCATAGGAAAGCATGCGCATTCGAAGCGGATCGGGGCGGAGAGATCCCCAGCGCCAAGGGAGTCCAGCACTGGAGGAAGGTAAGTGCTTAAGACACACACACTCTGACAAACAGACACACACTCAGTGACAGACACACTCACTTACAAAACACACACTAACAGACGCACACAAACTAACACACTCATTGACACACTCTAACACACTTTTTGTTATTTTATTTTTTTATTTCATCCCCCAGCCTCCCTATCTTAGGAAGAGCTGAGGGATTCCCTGGGGTCCAGTGGTGCTCCTGGGCGGCCGGTCACCCGGGTGGGCTGGCTGGTGGGCGCGCGAGGCAGCATTCTCCCTTGCTGAGTGCTTCCTCTTCAGCTCCCTTGCGCGCCGCGTACTGATGCCGGAGCCGGAAGATGACGTCATCTTCCGGCTCTGGTATCAGTGCGGTGCGCGAGGGAGCTGAAGAGGAAGCACTCAGGGGAGACAGAGAGACAGAGAGACAGTGTGTGTGTGTGTATATATATATATATATATATATATATATATATATATATATATATGTATGTATATATATATATATAATTAGCTCTTCTGTGGAGGAGGTGGTTAGAGTCCGGCTCCAGTTGTTACAAGTGACTTGGCAATCTGGCACAAATATCTAATTTAAGGCCTAACTGTAAAAATTATCCATGTTGACTTTGATTCCAGGTGAGTTGTTTTGACCTTAAATTTGAAATTCATTACTGAAATCGATTGTCCTTTTGTACCACCTTTTGTGTGGATGACCTTGAACATTTGTACGTTGTATCCTTTCTGTTCTGGGACCCCTTCTATTTGACAAATGTATAAATGATCTTGATATAAGCATTGAAAGCCATGTTTTAGGGTTTGCAGATGACGCAAAACTGCGTGCTGGGGAGGGGCGTAAGTAGCTTGTTTACTTGCAATGCTCCAGTTCAGCTCCCTCCTTCTATAGTGACAGTCATCTTCTCTTCTCCCTTCTTCCCTCCATAATGACAAACCTTCCCTCTCTAATGACAGCCCTCAGGGGTGTATCTAGAACATTTGGCAAGCGGGCGGGTCCTATTTTTGGCACCCCCCACAACTTTAGAATTTAAAAAACAACCACAATTTTTTTTTTTTTTTAATGTATTAAGCACTTAGCAGTGTTTGTTTCTAATCCACTTATCTCCAAGCACAGAAAAAAAACTTACTTTTTCAAAACACCCCAAACATACCCTAAAAATACATAAAACCCCACATCCCCTGACAGCCCTGATCTGGGTGAACAACATATCAAAAAATCACCCAGCTCAGAGTAGAGGTTCAGGAAATTCCTGGAAGTCTTATTTTTGACCCACCGTGCACATGGTCCCATGCCCAAAACAGTTCCAGAGAATTAGGGCTAACGGTCGGACTCTCTATCTGGAGTACAAAACTACATACTTCACATGAACCGAGCCTTTTAAAGTGCATTGGGCAAGGTATATTGCAGGGTCCATAATCCTGAGGCAATAGGCTGGCCAGCAGGCCCCTCCAAGAACCCTTGACGAAGTTCAGTTTGTCACAGGGCCATAATCACAGGGTAGGAGGCTGGCAAACAGGCCCCTCCAAAAGCCAGTGACGAGGATACTTTCGTCACATTCAGCTATATAAACTTTTATATTTAGGGTAAAAGCTTCTTGATCCAAGGTAAGATCTGACTACCATTCTGGGGTCAAGAAGAATTTTTTCCTAGTTTCTTGCAAAATTGGAAAGAGCTTCAAAGTGTTTTTTTTTGCCTTCTATTGGATTAACAGCAAAAACAGATATGAGAGAGGCTGAACTGATGGATGCATGTCTCTTTTCAGCGTGTGTATGTTTATATATATATATATATATTATATATATATATATATATATATATATATATATATATATATATATATATATATATATATATATATATATATGTGCTCCTATCACAACTGGGACACTACTTCCTTCACTTTCCCCATCCTTTCTAGTTCTTCTTTCAGTCCTTGGTATTTGTCCACCTTCTCATGTTCCTTCTTCCTGATGTTATAGTTACTGGATATTGCCACATCCACCATGACTGCAGTCTTTCGTTCCTTGTCTGCCACCACGATGTCTGGTCGGTTGGCCAGCACTTGCTTGTCTGTCTGGATCTTGAAGTCCCACAGGATCTTAGCCCTGTCATTCTCAACTACCCTTTGTGGTATCTCCCATCTGGACATAGGCAAGTCCAATCCATATTCTGTGCAGATGTTTCAGTACACAATCCCAGCAACTTGGTTGTGTCTCTCCATGTATGCTGTTCCTGCTACCATCTTGCATCCGTCTCCTAGGTGCTGGACTGTCTCAAAGGCCTCTTTGCACAGTCTGCACCTTGCGTCTTGCCTGGTGTGGTAAACTCCAGCTTCTATTGATCTAGAGACGTTCAAGGATGAAAACAAATCCAAGGTCTTGTGATACATGGTAGAAAACCATCTAGATAATGTATTACTTGCGTACAAGATAACTACCAGTATGAAATGTTGCAGATGGCACCTTGCCTAAGAACACAAAAGGCCTGCCCAATTTGTCTTTAAGCCCTTGTGTTCGACTCTGTTAGAACTAAATGAAACACAACTCTTAGTGGGCAAACTGGGTTCCATAGAGTTGGAGGCACCAAAAGGAGGTGGTTTAATGCCTGTGAAATGACAGCAGAATAGTACTCTGATCTGAATGGGTGTTGAATTGAGCCAAAGCCATGGCCGATTTGGCCTAAAAAGATTTGCGGTCATCATAGACTGTATGACCGTGTGCCCCAGGTCCGCCATTTTATGTAAAATAGAGATCTAGATCTTCCCTGTAGTGTGTGGATATGTAACAGATAATGTCTCTATATAGACTAACGGCCATGACAAATTTGGGTCTAGTCAGTTTTGTTCAGTCTGGGGTCCCTAGCTTTCAAAACTACTGACAAGACTCTGTAGCAGTACGCTTGGTTCTCTTCATATCTTGTATCTTTTTTTTTTTTAATTGGACTTTTTTTTTTATTAGAGTCCAATAAAAAAGGTATTACAAGATACAAATTTTATATGTTGTGAATATATGTATGTACATACCTATATACACATAATCTGCACTAGAAGGCTGTTTTGAATATCAATTTTATTTGTACGTTTATTTTCATACGTGATGGAGCGCAATGCCATACTTACCGCCCTAGGACGAAAATATAACAGGGGGGGAAAGAAGTTATACAAATAAGTTAAAGGCAGGGGCAATACTCGCCTCCGTGTCTTTCATAAAATCATGACTTTTCGTCATGAAATAGCAAAATCATGTAATTTTATGTCAAGACACGGAGGCTCATATTGCAAGTTTAAAGCTGAGCAATCACCGACGAGAAAACGTGTGGCTGAGGCCGAAAGTAGAATTCCTTGAAGGTGGATTCTCTGGACCAGTCCGCCATTCTCATAAGGTCTTCCAGGCATGCCCCCGAAGAAGCCATATTAGTGGCTGAAGCCCCTCGTGTGGAGTGGGCGCTAAAAATTGATGTGTCCACACCCGCCTGCAACATTACCCACTTCACCAAACGAGCCAGAGTCGTGCTGGATACTGGGGCGAAGGGCTGACGAATCGAGCGGAAGAGTTGAGGGGTTGAAGCCGACCAATGGGCATTCGTCCGAAGTTCGTATTCTTTCAAACAGGTCACTGGGCACAACATAGGGGTAGTTGGAAAATTCTGATACGAGACTGAACGTATGGCCGTCTTAGTCCTTCTGGAGATATTAAATGTCACCCGGCCGGGGTGAAAGATCTCGCATCGTGGTCCAGGGCCCGGACCTCTGAGACTCGTTTGCACGAAATAAGGCAGAACAGGGATACCAACTTGGCCGAGAGTTGTTGCAGGGAGAGGTCCGAATTGGGCGGCCAAGAGGAAAACAGTGATCGGACGCAGGGGATGTCCCATGTGGCTGTGTATCGAGGTCTGGGGGGACGCGACAGGCGTGAACCCTTAAGTGGCACACCAAGGGGTGTTGGCCTGCTCGGCAGCCGTTGAAACCCTGATGAGCTGAGGAGATGGCTGATCTGTATAGGTTAATCGTGCGGTATGCTCGACCCGCTTCGAATAATGATGTGAGGAACTGGAGTATCGCCATCACAGGAGCCGCCACGGGATCCAGTCCAAGCTTTCCAAGTGGTCCCATATGAGCGTCTAGTGCCGGGAGCCCATACATCTGCCAGGAGGCGTCGAGTCGTGTCCGAAACGCCTTGGACTTCCCAGAGACCCTCCATGCGAGTAGCCGTAACGATCAGTCCAGTAGGAGGGGATGTTGTTTGTAACGGACCACCTGGCACCCCAACGGGGTACCTCCGTTGATGGATGCTCCTAGTGCTTCTTGAGGGCTCCAAGCACTCTAGTCGACACCACAACCACCGCAGGCAGAACCTCTCTTCCTTCCGAGCAAAGCAGAAACAAGCTCTTAAAAGAGCTTAGGAGTGATTATAGCAAGGGAATATGCAGAGCATAGCAATCCCTTGTAGCAGATTCCCCCAATAAGAGACAGGACTCCAAATTGAGGGTGAAGTAGAACTGTCTAAAACTTTATTTTACTTGGGACTAGCCCATATGGTCATTACATTAACATTGCTGTGAAAACTTAATAAAATTACAAACAATCAAATCATAGCAGGCAACATACAGTGACTTATTATAACATAATTAGATATTTATAAATGGGTGGGGAAGACCATAATTAACACAAAATGTCTCTCCTGCATGTAGAATTAGCAATATGCAAATCTACCCGAATATGCAAATTACCAGTCTTGCTATTCAGGTAGTGCAACAGAGGGCACTACACAAGTTCCATAGCCAAATCCATCTAGTTGGTAGCAATCCTCAGCAGTACAGGAGAGAAGGCAATACATCCCAGGGGCCATGGTCACATGGCAGGAGGCTGGCAATCAGTCTTCTCCAATGCCCAGTGGCGAGGCTGGTTCCGCCACATTGTTGGCCCAAAGGGTTCAGCAGAAGGTCCCGGTGGGATGGCAGAAGTGCGGGAACGTCTATTGCCAGTTCCAGGAGTTGTGGGTACCCCAGAATGGGGTTAGCAGGACCAAGTCCGCCATCTGGTGTCGTACTTGGAGTAGCACTCGGGGGATCATGGCAAATGGAGGAAAAGCGTAAAGGAGTGCGCCGGACCAGTCTTGCAGGAAGGCGTCCATTGCTTCCGCGGCCAGGTCTGGGCGCCAGCTGTAGAACCGGGGTAGTTGGGCGTTGAGCCTAGAAGCGAAGAGGTTGATGGCCAAGGGTCCCCCAAAGGGACGAGATAGTGGAGAACGCCTCTGTATCCAATTTCCAATCGCTGCTGTCTGATAGATAGCATGAGCTCCAATCCGCATGGGTATTGTGAAGACTGGGGAGGTATTCCGCCTGGACCATCAGGTCCCTGGCTAAACAATAGGTCCAGAAATCTTTCGCCAAATGGGCCAGCCTCGCTGAGCGTGTGCCGCCCAGGTGGTTGACATAACGAACTGCTGAGATGTTGTCCATGCGCAGCCTGATGCACGCACTGGCCATCCCGTTCACAAAACTCCGGATCGCAAAGGAACCGGCTAGTAGTTCCAGGGCATTGATGTGGAGCCGGGACTTGGCTTCTGTCCAGTGACCCCCAGACACCATTGCAGTGGGCGCCCCAACCATGGAGACTTGCGTCTGAGTCCACTGTGAATTCCGGTTGTGAGCTGAAGATGGCCTTGCCATTCCAGGCGGATAGGTTGTGGATCCACCAGGTCATCTCGTCTTGATTCCGAGTCCAGGGAGACCAAATCTGAATATGAGGGCCCTTTGCGAAGATGTGCTATCTTCAGATGTTGGAGGGCCCGATAATGGAGCAGGGCTGGGAACACTGCCTGGATAGAGGAGGCCAGTAGGCCAATTAGTCGTGCCAGGTGCCGCAGCGACAGCTGGTGGCGCGCTAGGGCGCGTCGCAGTTCCTTGCGGATTGAGCGTATTTTGGCCGGAGGGAGACTGAGAAACTCCGCTTCAGAGTCCACCGTGAATCCTAGGAACCCCATGTGTCGGGAAGGGGATAGGCAGGATTTTTCCCCATTGAGCAGGAAGCCCAGCCGACATAGTAGGTCCATCGTCCATTGTAGGTGTTCTAGGAGGACCCCCCGATCTTGTGCCATGAGGATGATGTCGTCCAAATAGACTATCAGTCTTACCCCTCGACTGCGCAGCCAAGCCATGGCAGGTCGCATCAACTTGGTGAAGCACCACGGAGCTGACGAGAGCCCGAAAGGGAGGCATGTGAATCGCCACGTTTCGCCTTTCCAGAGGAATCGTAGTAAGTCCCTGGACGACTGTCACCGGGACTGTCAGGTAAGCATCTTTGAGGTCTAATTTCGCCATCCAGTCTCCGCGTAGGAGATGGATGCCCTCCATCTTGAAGTGGCGGTAGCGCACTATGGAGTTTAGGGCCCAAAGGTTGATAACAGGGCGCATCTGACCGCCTTTCTTTTCCACAAGGAAGATGTTGCTGAGAACACCAGTATGGGGCATCGGAGCTCGTGCTATCGCTCCCTTTGTGCGGAGTGACAATAGCTCCTCGTCTATTAAGGCTCGGTTTGCCCTTGAAAGTACCATAGGGTGAGGGGGAGGAATATGACACGGGGTGTCTACCAATTCTATGTGAAACCCCCTCACAGTGGCCAGAACCCAGGAATCTGAGGTGATGTCTAACCAGGCATGGAAAAAATGACGGAGTCTGCCCCCTACACAGATATTGGAAAAAAACATGAGGTAGGTGTAGTCTTACCGTAAGGGCGTCTGGAACCGGGGTTCCCTCTGAAGCCTCTAGAGCGCCATGGTCTTCCACGAGATGGGAAGAAGGGGGACTGGTGTCTCGTGTCCTGATAAGGTGGTCTCTGATTATAGGAGCCTCGTCCCGATCCTCGGGAGTTGAAATTTGACCGGCCGGACAGACGGCCCCTGAATCTGCCGGCCCTGGTAGAGACCCGTCCCTGAAATACCCTCTTGATGGAGGACTGGGCCTTGTCTAGGGTTGTGAAAGCACCTACAAAGCGTCCCAAATCCTTGATAAAGGAGTCTCCGAATAATAGGCCTTGGGCATCTTTGCCCGCTTCAGTGAGGGCGAGGTTGGCCAATTTTGAAGAGGATGGCTTTATGCCCCTCTATGGACAGGGAAGTGTTTACGCTGCCTGCTATGCAGATTGCCCTCTGCACCTAACCACGGAGTTCTTCCGGGTCAACCTGCCTGTTTTCCGTTCTGGCTAGTTCGGCCAGGTCAAATTATTTAGCCAAGGGGCCGAAAATGTCCAGGTGTTTGTCCTGGCAGGACTTTAATGCTGAGTCCAAGCCCTTACGGGGATTCCAACCCATTTTGTTAAGAAACTGTCATTTTTGGGTCTACAATGGGAGTCTCGCAGACTTTATTGAGAATCAAAGGCCTAGGACATTCTGCCCTGAGCTTGTTGCGCGCCGCCTTACTAAGAGGGCGCCGTACCCAGTTCTCCAGGTACTTGGCTACATGGGTGGCTGGGAGCCATTCTGCTGACCTCGGATGATGGAGAGCATCCGGATCAAACATAGGTTCCCCAGACGGGTCCATGAGGGTTGAACCCACGGTAGCGGGGGAGTCGCTGCGCGAGCCACTAATTACCAACCCTGATAGGGCAGGAGCAAAAGGGTCATTGTCCCGCCCGCCAGTCTTATCATTGGAGTCATCTAAGGACTCATCTCCAGCCTCCTCACAAGACCCGATTTCTGAGTCGGAGTCGCTCTTTGCATGTGCTCTGGCACATTTTCAGTCCCGTGCCCGTTCTGCCTGGCGCGGAAAGGCTCTCTTGCGTGACATAGGCACGCTGTCATGGGTGGATATTTTCACACCAGTCTTAATGTTTCTGGAGGCGGGGGGGCTTAGGTGTCTAGATTTAGTCTTGGCCTTTCTAGGGATGTCCCCTGAGGGGTTCAAAGAGGAACACGCTAAAGCGCGTTGGCGAGGCGGATGCTTCTGCGGGCAGAGGGCGTGCCAGTAAGGCCTGAGATAGTTTGGGAAAGGACATAGAGCCCATGGCGGCCATAATAGCGTCTGTAACGGAACGTTGCAGTGCTAGGGCCTGGGCATCATCAGGCACCGACATAGGGTCACCCGCAGAGGATGGGGGGGCCGAGCTGGCAGAGTTAGGGTTATCCAGCTCACGGGGTACATCCATATCCCCAAGGGGAAGTGGGGTAGCAGACCCTTTAGATTTAGGCATAATGACTATATTAAGTAACCCAGAGACACAAGTAAAAAAAAATTTATATATGGTAATATAAGCTGCTGAGTGAATTAAATAAGAATACACTGAGAGAGGAAGCCTCAACTAGCAGGAGTTAATCACCCCAGGCTAGTTATGCTAATAGGAGATAATTTAGGGAGCTCACCAGGGTCCAGACCGGCAGATAGGTAGAGGCCACGAGGAGTGGCAAGGAGAGTGAGTGATAGAAAATGGCCGCCGGCAATCTCGCGAGATTCGCGGCGGAATTCTAACAGAAAAAGAAACGAACGTTCGGCTGAAAACAACGAATACATATGGAGCCATAGAGGGGAACATAGAAAGGTGCGAATTAGGCAGCCGTTCGCATAGAAATTCGAACGCGGCAATCGGCGAATAGGCAAGTGAATAAGGTAAGCTAGCGAATAGGGGACTTCGTGAGAATGGCCGAACAGTATAGAGTATGAAGGAGGAGAAAAAACTGCCGAACGGGATGACGAGAATAGGCGCAAAGGGCGCCAAAGTGACAGGCAGAACGGCAGATAAGAGAAAATGTAATGGAGGGAGGAAAAAGGCTCGAGAGCTTTACAAGGGATACAAGTGAAAGGTAGATATAGAGCTAAGGCTGGAAAAAAGGGGGGGTCTGGAACCCTGGGCTCAAATAAAACTACATAATAATCCCCAAAACATATGAAGAAACTGCAAGCTGTGAATAACCAGTGAATAGTACAAATTGACAGGTAGAGAATTACTGTCAATAGTGACAATAAGCAGTAGACAAAACCATAAGTAATGATAAGGGAAAAAAATAGACTGCTGCTACCAAACAAAGAGGAATTGGGTGGGGAGGTGCTGCCTATTAAACTGGGACTTGATATGGGAGTGACCTATCACTATGGTTACCGTTTTTTCTTACTGTTTGTATTCTTTGCTGCTATTGGTGGACAGTAAAGAAAGGGATATGCAATATGAGCCTCCGTGTCTTGACATAAAATTACTTTTGCATAGGTTAGGTGTTAAAATTAACACTGTGAGGATGTTGGCATATCATCCTACTGCCTCCACTCTGTAGTATTCAGGATGTTACCCCATCCCTTACATGTTTTTCTCTACTTTGAGGTCTTTTAATATAATTCCATTTAAATCCACACCCCTGTCACCATGCAGTCCTGGAACTCCCATCTTCATAAAAAGGTAGTTCCATCCCAATTTCCAGTCCTACTAATTTGAAGCCTCCACATAAATGCCTGTGGGTTCCACCTTTGGTCACATGTGGAGATCTAACCACCCTCTCCTCTCTCACTCCCACCCCCCATTCTTCCAGCTGCCAAAACAAATTCTTTACTAAACCTGTGTGCAGCATTTATCCAGTCTAAATTTTAATGAATATACCAGCTGCAGTCCTGAGATGTCCTTTACATTCGACCAAAAGTCTATGCCCTCTTTAGCCTTCATGATTGTCTGATTAAACCCTGGTTTAAAAAAAAAAGGTGAAAAGCAGTGGTTTCCAAACCACATATTGAGAAACCATCATGCCCCCCCCCCCCCAGCCTAGAGCAATTTAAACATTTAAAATGTCGCTTAGTTGCATTAAACATATCTTAACACAATGAATCTCCACCCAACCTATATTAGCATCCAATTAAAACCAACAGAGGTGTAATCAAATACCTAAAATAGTCAGACAGTTAAAGACTCAAAATACATTATTTATTTCAATAAAGGTCTCTGGATTACATAACAAAAAAATAATTTGTCAGAATATTTATAAAATAGAAAATAATCCCTGAATACTTTTTGTGTGATTTCCACAGGCAGTCTCTGAAGTGGGATAGACACTTTTCAAACATACGATCACAGAACAGTTTGCAGACACAACCTTCCCACGAATGCAGCATTTCCGACAATTGGGTAAACTCAATGACCAGCACATAGAGCTGCCAGTCAGTTGTATTTTAAGTTAAAACAAAACAATGGTCTTAAAGATTTAAAAAAGCCATGATTTTAACAAAACAAAAAAAAAATGCATGATGCGCCTATGCAAACGATTGTGGTTGTAAAGTAGCACTTGCATAGGTGTCACTAGCGTGAATAAAAATTTGTTGTTAAGGCACTGACTCGTTTATATAAAGAAGATGATGCACACAGGCAATACAGCATCAAGTCCAAAACATGGAACAACTTCATGGCTACTAACCAAGGAAAAAAAAAAAGGTACTATAAAACTGGCTTATGCACTTTAGAGCTCTGCCATCCTCTGGGGTTTTTGCATATTTTATAAAGATCCAGATGGGGACTATTTGGTTTGCGTTCGGGTGACCATGGGGGGCAGGGGAAGGTAGTTTTTTTTAACTTACCTGAACCTGTCCCTCATGGCCCTCTTGCCATGAGATCCTCTTCACCTCCTGGTGTTTCATCTGACAGGAGCCATCGTCAGCGCTGTACACGCACAAAATTACAACACTGATAGCTATGGAGGATTCCACTGCCTCAGAGCTTGTCAAAAGGTAGCTCCACCTTTTGTCAAGCGTAGAAAAAACACATAAGACCAAGTAGTCCCTACTGGGGAGGTGACAGAGCCACTTTAAAGAGAGTAATGCCAAAATATAAATCTTTCCATGAAAAGACACACACAAGTTCAGATATGCATGTAAAAGTTGTGGAACTTGACAGTTGTTTGATTTTTAGTCCTGCTAGAAGACATGGATTTAGAGAAAGCCAAAGCTGCTTGCAGAACATTAAACCCAACGCGGCCATTTTGTGTTAAAGAAGTATTCTCACTGGCACTTTCAACTAATCAGAATACAGATAGAATTCAAATTATGTTCACTGACTAGAACATTCCCAGATAAGAAGAAGTTATGGAAGCCATGATCTGCTGTAAAAATGAGACTTGCGCTATAAATACAACTGGGGAGGAATTAAAAACAAAATTCCACACCTTTATGTCTGAATATCTGAACTTCACTAAATGCGTATTTTAATTTAGGATCCACTTTGGATTAAGCATTTATGTTATGAATTTTGGCAAATTAAAGACAGTCTTCTAATGAGTGAAGAAATAAAATAAAATTTAAAAAAATAATGAGTATAACCATTAGGTTTAACTCAATTCAGTCATGCCAGCACTGGGACTGGCTACAGATGAGTTTGGCGAGATATAAAATGAAAATATATCCTCTGCTTTTATAGAACACGTGACACAGCACGGACCATGCTTTTGAAAAGTAATTTTCACAGTACAAAGTGTGGGCTAAATGAGCCAACATGCATCACTGTCCATTAAGATAGGATCTTCAATTGCTTCTGTACTAGTGCTGACAAAAGCAAAACATTAAAAAGGTGCTTCAGGCATGGAAGACACTTAATGGTGTGTATGAATCCTTGCACAGTCCCTGAGGCTTTTATTTATTTACAATGATAGTCCTAAAAAATGATGCAACCCTGTGCAAGAAATAAAGAAGGTGCTCCACAGTAAACAGAGAATTTGCCCTTGGCAAAACTTCATCCTCCGACATTGCGGTCTTGTAACATTTGGAAATACCAGGGTCCTTTTAGATCTGGATAACTGGATGCCTAAGTGTAGGGGCTGGGCCAGCCCCAGCTCACGAAGGTCATACGACTCCCACCATCTGATCAATTTGTCTCATATAAACACTCTTCAATGGAAGTGAAAATCTTCGTTCTTCAGGCACTCTATTACACTAAACAAAGAACAAAAAGTGTTAGGGGAACAAAAAATAGTTTGCCCTTTAAAAGCAATGCAATTACCTCTACAGAGCAGCATCAATATTATCGGTCTATTTTTAATCAATGTGCTGCTACAATGCTACAAAATGAGACAGAGGCAAATTAATATGCCAAAACTCCCAAAAAGAACAAATTGACAGGTCTTTCATTTCACAGATACCTGGCAGACGTACAGTTTTCTTTTCATAGCAGAGCACAATTTAGGTTCTTTTATTTATTTTTTTGTAAAATGGCCAAATTAAAAGTGTCAATATATCCCTAGTTCTGACAAAATATATAAGCCTGAGAACAATTTTGGTTTGTGTGAGTAAAATTCTAAATGTAGGGTGCCGTCTGTAAGGGAGTACATGTTAGATACTTGACTCTACACTATCAAACACATATGTACATTATGTGCTCCTAAATTTCAAATTAGAAACCTAGTCCTTCTCCCTCAACCCCATTCCTTCCCCAGACCCATCTTGTACTCACATTGGTACTGGAGTTAGCAGTACGGAGCCTGGTCTGAGACAGTTTCTGCAAGCTTCTTTGAGTTTTGTCTTCTTGATGAAAGAACTCGTGCCAAGGTGTCTTTCTAAAACGAGGATCAAGTGGAACCAAATGTCCCTCAGTAGTGAAAAGATACTTATTACCAGTTCTGTGTACAGGGTTATCTTCATCGAACAGCTATAGAGAAAGAACATGGCATTCTATATCAGGATGTGTAACTAATCTAATTTCAAGTGTGGGAAAACATCAACAGCTTCAAACACAAGGAGAGATGAAGCTAAAACAATATTAGATTAAAGAAGAACAAACGGAAGCTGGGAAAACACTGGCACTGGTAAAATTTCGGATTGCTTCAAGATGCATCACTTGGAGGAGCTAGATCAGGAACACACAGCCTTTGCCATCTAGTGATTGCTAGACTAAATTTTTTTTAACAGCGGTATATTGAGGCTTGTCCATTCTGGTCTAGATGCGTGTTAGGTGGGGACATACATTCTGGATTATATGAAGTAAGAGAAAGCCAGCTGTGCATTAGCACAAAAGTGGCTTGATTTGGAACACATGGAAGACACCAAACTTACCAAGTATAGATATTTGCACGTTTCACTCAGAAAAAAGCTCTCCATTCGATCCTCCTGAGACTTATCCACTACATGATGCAAAGTGGCATAACCACACCTGAAGGAAGAAAGTGGATAATCAGAACAAAGGACCAGGAACATCCATATATACGTGTTTCCCCCACTAAGTGAACTCACTTGGCTTTTGCATGTTTTTCCAAGCTTTGCAATATATCCATGCCAACATGGAGGTAGAATGGATTTTTGGTGGCCTACAAAAGATAAGAGAATAAACAAACATACATATACATCACATATATTGAAATAAGATGGTAGAGGACAGAATAGTATAGGATGAAAAAGTGCAAAGATTACCAACCTGGTATAAGAGATAAGTGGACTCCACCAGCTCTGGTCTAAGGGGATAAAAAGAGACATCAGGGGCTTGTAGCTGCCAGTTGTATCTTTCAGGCAGAGCTCCATATCGCTTCCAGATGGCATAGTAAAAAGCATGCAGACAAATTGCATCCTCTATATCTCCTTTTAAGACCTGAAACAATATAAACCTTATAAAACACCAGCTTACCAACAGAGGAGACTATATTTAAAAGAAGAAAAACAACCACAACAAGAGGACAGTCTTAAATTAGAGGGACAAAGGTTTAAAAATAATATCAGGAAGTATTACTTTACTGAGAGGGCAGTGGATGCATGGAATAGCCTTCCAGCTAAAGTGGTAGAGGTTAACACAGTAAAGGAGTTTAAGCATGCATGGGATAGGCATAAGACTATTCTAACTATAAGATAAAGCTAGGGACCAAAGAAAGTATTTCGAAAATTGGGCAGACTAGATGGGCCGAATGGTTCTTATCTGCCGTCACATTCTATGTTTCTATGTTAAGAATGTGATTGTCAGCCTTAAGATTAAGAACGATGGCAAGACAGTCCTGTTTATTTGGGATTGCAAACACCACAATAATAATGAAAAACAAAGTTATTGTATCGTGTAGTGGATTTGCCAGAAGGAGATATAATATACCTGAAGACCAGGAAAGAAAGCTTGTAGAGAATCTATCCATGTATTCATGATTTGTCCATTTAGCATGTTAACATTGACATAGAGAGGTGGATCTCCTTCACCTTCGTTACACGCTTTCCGCCTGAGGACAAGAAAGAATACAATTTAGATATCATCAATGTAGTCTGGTAGGACTTAAGAATCTGACTAACGAGCCGACCATGAAAAAAAAATTACCCATTAAGAATGTTTTGTAAGAACATACACATGTATCATTTATATTTATGCATGCACTTACTTGTGGCAAAAGTGACAGGTGTTTGGAAAATGAAACTAAGAATTTCAATTTAGAAATTACCAATTGTAAGTTTCCAATACAGACACAGAAGGCATTTGTATCAATAAAAAAAAAAAAACACACACATGTAAAGGGCGTCACACAGACAGAGGTTCTATGGTGTTACACACCTGAAGCATTCCATCCACTTGGGACTTAATGGAACTCTCATCCCTCAAAGCAACTTCCTTTCAATTAAATTGTTTTGAGGGCTGGAGTCTTATTTTTAAGTGTTAAACCATTTTTCAACAGTTTAACATCTACATATACAAGTCCACATTGATTTCTCCCTTTTCCCCTCGGCACCGTATTGAGCAGACCGTAAGCATTAGGAAGTATTGGCTCTCGGTGATTGCGTAAGAGCTTATAAGTTTGATTTTGGGGGGGTTTGCATTACTTTTACGATTCATAAGTTGACAACTACAGATGAAACCAGATTCTCCCTATCTCGTGATGTAGGTAACTGCAATGATTAAAGGTTAGAGGGAACAGCAATGTGCTCACATTTGTCAAACACCAGTCACTTTTGAAACAAATATATAGAATTACATTTCTTAAAGCTTTTCTTTACATATAAAATTATTTTAGTTCATAGATGATACATTCTAGTGTTAGATTTTAGGCAGCGCAGTATGATGGCGAAATATGAAAATGTATGCCATGAAACGGTCTCCAAATGGATGGCAAATTGTAATTGGAGAAGTTTTAATACCTTTTTCAGGATTATTACTTTGGCCCCTTTCTGACCTAAGCAGTTGGAGAGGGTCCCAGTAGTTATTCATCACACTCGTCTGGACAAACACCTTTATTGTCATCTAATGTCCAAAGTCTGGCTCACATTAAAAATGATTAAATAACATCTGCTCACACCCTACAGACCTTCTGATCAGATAACAGAAACCTGCAGAGATGAATAACCATAAAATTAACAACTTAAATATAATATTCTGAACAACGTCAGGTGGTAAGCACAGACCTATACCTAACTTTCAGATGACTACTGGAACCAAAACTTACCCCTATAGCAATTGGGATATCATCAGAATGGGTCTATTATCCATAGATTTATGCTAAAAGCCCCACAGAGCTAGTAAACATTGTTTCAACAGACAAACAGATACTGAGCACAATATATAAAGCACTTTTAATTTCAATATTAAACTAGAGGAGGCAATTAGGAATTTTCTATGATGTACTGAAAACTTTGCATTAATTCATACACAATTTAAGAAGTATAAGTTTTCCATGCTAGCAGCAGGACATATGGACTCCTTAAGATATTATTTAATTTTAAAATTCAGGACACCCTTGTTTTCCATTATTGCCCCTAGAACCTATAAAGAAACCACATACCCTCTCCTGAGATGGCTCCGGATACTTTTGTAGGCCTCATTAAACATGTCTAGATCTTTTTCCTCCCCAAACAAAATGTAAGACTTCAGCAAGTACTCAAAGAAGGAATCCAGCCCAGCACCTAATCCACTCTGCTTCCCAACCCAATCTCCGGTCTGAATGTCCACTACGTTCCCTGTAATCAAAGGAAGAAGAGACAGGGTGAGGAAATGTGGATATATTATCCAGAAAACTGAGAAACACACAACATGACTTCTTCTTACCTAGTAGACCAGTGTCATTGCTCCTCAAGCTCCAAAGTGCACGGACAGCTCGGCGGGCAACCCATTCAAACGTTGAGTCTCCCAAAAGTCGGCTGAGGATGCCAAACTCTACCAACAGAGAACCAGCACCAGCAGTGCACGTGTGATTGAGACTATCTGGAGGGACCCCTTTCAGAAGATTCACCTGTAAATGGGAGGAATGTAAGACAAATGCTAGCTGCTTGCCACCCAGTTTTGTCAATGTTTGTTAAAGCAAGCATGCCACATCAATTACACATTGTATGGCAGCTACCCAAGTCATATTTCTGGCTATTTATTTTGGCGATAGAACAAATGATGGACAAACACAATAAATGGTGAAATAATTTCATATACAGCCAAGAATGTTCAGGCAATAACCTATTCAATTTTGTGTAACATAAAAACATCATAGACAGGCTTATTCTCGTCACTACAAATTTAAATGAGAAAAAAAATTGGAAAAAAACGGGAGTGATCAGAGTATAGATATTCGGGGCAAAAAGAACAGGGCATGAACCCAGGTAAGTAATGTAAAGAGAGGAAAGAACGACTAATTGCCCTGGTCAAGGGGGGTAGGTCTATAAAAACTTCACTTTTATTAGACTTTTAATCAAAATTGGTTTAGGAAAATATACAATGATATGACCTAAGAGAATCATTAATCAACTTAAAGTTGATGTGCATAATTATAAATCACAAGTATTGCACTTATAGACAGTGATAGACAGAATCAGTAATTAAAGGGAAACTCCAGTGCCAGGAAAACAATCAGTTTTCCTGGCACTGCAGGTCCCCTCTTCCTCCCACCTCCCATCCCAGGTAGCTGAAGGGGTGAAAACCCCTTCAGGTCACTTACCTGAGACCCCGCAGATGTCCCTCGGGGGTGGTTTCGGGTCAGCGTCGCTCCTCCCAGTAATTACGTCAGCCAGTGGGCGAGACTTATCCCGACCGCCAGCTGAGGATATCTAATGCGCATGCGCTGCAATTCCGCGCACGTGCATTAGGTCTCCCCATAGGAAAGCCACTAGAGGTGGAGTTAACCCTGCAGGGTAATTATTGCAGTTTATAAAAAAGAGTAAGGGTAATGGGAGTTGGCACCCAGACCGCGGTCTGGGTGCCTGGAGTGTTCCTTTAACAAAGATGAATAATCAATATATTTGAACCCAAAACAAATATAGAAAAGTTGATGGAGGTAGAGTTATATATAACAGTAGATAGTCATGAAATGTATCACTTTATCCAACAGAGTAAAAATGTGACCACAGTCAAAAAGATAGCTACATTGTATATGTATATAGCCTCCATAGGTGCCCATGAAGGGCAGATCATTGATATATTTTTCATCTCTATTTTTATGCTTCAGTTTCTTTTTTCCCCAAGCTATTCTTTTATACTTCCAACCCAACATATCTTGTTCGTATTTTACAAGTTGTATTTAGGTACTGAGCACTGCTTATTTGAGGCTCCTCCCTGGCAAGCATTACGGCAGTATACAAATATACAATGTAGCTATCTTTTTGACTGTGGTCACATTTTTACTCTGTTGGATAAAGTGATACATTTCATGACTATCTACTGCTATATATAGCTCTACCTCCATCAACTTTTCTATATTCGTGTTTTGTGTTCAAATATATTGATTATTCAACTTTATGTTGATTACTGATTCCGTCTATCACGGTCTATAAGTGCAATAGTTGTGATTTATAATTATGCACATCAACTTTAAGTTGATTACTGATTCCCTTAGGTCATATCATTGTATATTTTCCTAAACCAATTTTGATTAAAAGTTTTAATAGACAGACCCCCCTAGACCAGGGCAATTAGTAGTTCTTGCCTCTCTTTACAAATTTAAATGAATTCAATCTATATTGCAAAATTGGAAAAAGTCCTCATCTCTGCTACATGCACAGTTTGACTAATTTAGCCTTACTTGTGCAATTTGAATGTAATATGTTAGAATTCCGAATTTAGTGGGAACGGAAAAATAGCAGTGGTAAACTAATTTCCAGTCCAGAAGTTATGCATTGTGCAGTTAGCACGTGTACATTTATAAGTTTGATGTCAAAATTCACTTAACTTACTCTAGGGTAGGGCATGCCTGTCCTGGTGTTCTCAAAAGCAGGAAGAAGTCTGACAGCAAGATCGTGGGCCATGTGAAGGAGTTCATTATCATACCCATTGAGTGTCATGTTGCCAAAAGGCTGCTTAGTGTCTGTTAGTATGATGTGGGCAGAAAGCAAGCTACCCATAATCCTGATAATATGACAATAAGAAAAGCAGATGTTACAAGTGGTTATTTTCTCTCTCAACCCCTAAAATTACATAATGAAGACATACTTATGGCTCTACCCTATAACAATGATTGAGTACTACATACCTAATGGTTGCCTCAAACACTTGCACAGTGGAATCTTTATCGAAAGAAACAGTGTCAATGACCAGACGCACAGCTTTCTGGAACTCTGTGGCATTTCCCATTACCTGCAACAGAGAAAGAAGTTTTAAATAGAAATCAGCTAGCGTTGAAACTTTTAGACAGATCAGCCCGCTGCTCAACAATTTTCATCTGACAAACTGTCTTCTAAACCACAAACGTGAATCTCACTGGGCTCTCTGAGTTGTGGTCGACCAGATAGCCCTTAAACTTGGCCTATAGTTATTCCATTCCAAGGCAGTATAACTGTGTTGTGGCATAATAAACCAAGAAGATGTAAAGCACACTATAAAAAGGAAAGAGGCCAGGTGGAAAAAGGAACACCGCTTGCCTTATTCAATACTGCTAGAACACCATAGCATGAAAAATACAAAAAACTTTTAAAGGGATATGTGGTGCTCTTATAATAAGCAAGTGCAGCCTAAAACAACTTAAAGTGTACACCTTGTACACTTAACAAAAATAGTAGAAAACCAAACCAAGAAAAAAAAAAAAAAGCTCACACAGTGCTTACATTTTTTTACCTTTTAAAAACAATGAGGAGGGTCTTGTAACATACATTCAGATAAGAGGACCCTCCTAAACTTGCAAAACGTTAACCCTTTTGGAACTCCAAAGATGAAGATTTGCCAGAATTACCACAATCCATATAAACACCAAGCTGTCTGTCTTAACAGCGTTGATGGGAAAACTGGGTTACTGATGGCAGGCTGCAATGCTATGAGCCAGGAAAAATTAATTCTGGCCATAGACACCTTTCTCTGTCAGTTGCTCTTTGGGTCTGATATCCATGTCACCTTTTTCTCACTTTGCCCCGGGGAGGGGTTGTCATGAAGTTAAGCATTGCCTCCTCCTCCAATAGTGGCTTTACACTCTCCACACGGAAGTTGCCAGTCAATTCAGCTTTGCCACTACTGACCTCCCCGGGTCAAACTGAGAAAAAGGTGACATGTGAATCCCAGACCCAAAGAGCAACTGACCGATAAAGCAGTCTATGGCCAGAATTGTTTTTTTCCTGCCTTTTTTTTTTTTGGCTCATGGCATTGCAGCCTACCATCGGTAACCCAGTTTTCCCATCAACGTGTGGTTTTACGGAATATTTTAATTGTGGTGTTTATACTGATTGTGGTAATTCTGGCAAATCTTCATCTTTGAAATTCCAGAGGGGTTAATGTTTCGCCAGTTTAGGAGGGTTCTCTTATCGGAATGTATGTTACAATACCTTCCTCATTGTTTTTAAAAAGGTAAAAAAAAAAAATGTACTCGCTGTGCGCTTTAACACTTAGTGGGTTGGTTTTCTACTACAGCAAGAAGAATTACTGTGTGCTGGCCTTCCTATCATACAGATCAGCAAACCTATAATGTGCGTCTTAGAGCAGGAAAATTACAATCAAAACCAAAAACTGTCAGTCCCGGCAGCTGTGACACCAACTGCTCAGGAAATGACCCAGCAAGGAGATGTCAAACTCTATAAGACTGAACACCTGGACTTGCCACAACATAGCCAAAAGATCTGGTCTTAAATTGACACTTCCGTATCTAGAGAAACTGGTACTTTTAGAATTTAACATTGTTACATCCCCAGGTTGTTCGACAACTGGTCATGTATTTTCCTGGTTGATTAGCTCATATCAGGCAATTTCCTAAAGCACCTGCCTTGCACAGACTTCTCATTGGGACACACACAGAAAATCAGTCTGGGTTAGAAGACAATGGCGAGCAAAGGCTTTGTAAGCTGTTTTTAGATATGATACTTGGAAACAAAATCATTGGACAAGGTTTAATGTTTTCAACAGGAAAAAAAACAAAAAACTTTAACATGATGCAGAAACAGATGTAATGCCAAGACGAACAAACAATTACCCTAAAGCAATGGTTTCATATGGGCAGAATTGAAAGAAACTGATTGGGAGGAAACATTTGAAACAGATTTGGACTTTTGAATTTCAGTTCATCTTACCATACACCCCTCCAGTTCTAAAATCCATCAATCGAGTGTGTCATACTAACAATGCCATCATATATGTCTAAGCCCATAAATATGGGCACCAGTGTAGTTAAGGAGACCTAGCGTTACAAGCCTGACTGACATACATGTACGTAGCCCTCTACAATGTTATTGACAGAGGTCACAGCTGTTAACTCACCGCTAATGTGTCCAGGGCATCAATCAGGGTTAGGGAATAGTTTCCAAGGACATCATTGATGTTTAGATTAGAACTGAAACAACACAGTCAAAAGGTGTTAACATACCCCAAAGGCTGTGACCAAAGCACAGCTAACTTGGAAGACACAATGTTTACCGATAGGCTTTACTTTGAGATCTGTCTTAATAGGGTCACAATCTCTCAGTCTATAAATTGTGACAGGTGTCCAGCATTTACCTTAACATCCATAACTAGCATGTCCCAAGCATAGACATTTTACACAGTACTTACCAAGCAGACATTCATGTTTGTCTACAGTCCGCATACTATTCTACTGAATTTGTGTCTTAAATGGGTACATAAAGTTGTGTTTGATATTATTTGGCATGGTTTCTCTGATGGATCATTTTCATTATACAGATAGGTAAAAATCAGCAACGGGGGCGGGGTATGACCGGTCGCATGTCCCTGAGGCTCCTGCTAACTTCACCTTCACCCGGCAGAAATTATGGGCTTACCGCTGACAAACATGCGGAATAGCCCACTGAAGTGTACAGGAGACTGTTGGCACCACCATGGACTCTGAGATCGGGAGTTTCAATGCCCCAGCGGTACGAAACTTCGGAGCCTGCGGCCTACACGGTGAAGACACTGGGCAGACGGCCGCTGCCCTACTCAAAAGCCTGGTCACCACATCACAGCCCTGTAACGCACCTCACAGAACACTCTAGGCTTACCTGACTTACATACCCACGGTTCTGGACCTGGTTCCCACTACAACTTTCCTGGACCTTGAGCCGCTAGATGTCGTTCCTAGAACCGCAGCGCCACGCCTGAGCACACTTCACCAGCCAGACATCCAGACTTGGAACCAGAACCGAGGGCACAAGCGGTCACTCATGCAGAGCCCGGGGCTGGCAGCGTGGCACATACCAAACCAGTCATCTCATCAAGACTCTGCTAACAATACCATCAGGTTGGAGGAACGGAGGACCCAGCAAGCCCTGCAGCATAACCTGATCAGCAGCTCAGTGCAGTAGAACCCGGGAGACCACATGATTTCCCCAGAGAGAACCCAGTGGAGGCTGCCAGCATTTCTGCTCACGGCTTACTAAGTTTGACCCACATACGACCCACACGGAACCAACAACGATATTACCCCTGATACTCTGCCGACATATACTCACATAAGCAAGCTTTCCTCACTCCATATGAGAAATGACCTTCCCTTGCTTTCTCTTGGTCTGCTACATGTTCAGCTAGACATTCTGTATATATATGGCATAGCAAAGTACTGGGTACCAACCTTGCCACCCACGGGGATCGGATGATCGGAGCAACGGGTCCACAGAACATGAAAGGCTCGAATACATGCTGACAGACACCATTTACCTGGAGCAGTACCGCCAGAGCGACTGGTTCAAGATATATGCTCCTTTTTGTGATTAATTTTCAGGTTTTTCCCACGCCACTCTTAGTACATGTGTGATATATAGTGGAGCAAGGGGGGGCCGCACCCAGTGGTTAACCTGGTCATCCTAGATATGTTTAATTTTGTGCCAGTTCTGAGCTCTAGCAATAGCTAACAAGCGACATGGATCTAACCTATGAGAAAATTTATTATGGGAATACTAGCCTACATGTGTGCCTAGATACCTTTTTCACGTAGACAAGCTAACAGTACCTATCGCTTACACATGCATGATCAGCCTGAAGGTTATTGACTCCCACACTAGCGCAATTGTATCCTACTTCTATCAACATGTCTATGCTTAGAGTTATTTAGCTTAGTAACGCTCTCTTAAAAGTCAACCTAGACGTATACTGCTTAGCCTGTACTTACACAAAAAATGTGCATGTTTTTCTCACTACCTCAATTGTTATGCGGAATGACTAGCATGAGGACTGCTGTTGGGGCACCTCAAGCGTGTTTGTAATGTCATTATGCACTGCAAAAATAATTTTAAAAAAAATTAATAAAAAATGAGCAACAGCTTCCAAAAAGGGAAAAAATATCCCTTTTCCAAGAATGAGGTAGTAGAAAGCTTAACTGAATGAATCAGAAGAATTTTTAAAGGATCACTATAGTGTCAAGAAAACAAATCTGTTTTCCTGACACTATAGTACACTGAGGGTGCCACCGTGGTCCTGAAGGGGTTAAAACCCTTTCATTAACTCACCTTATTCCACCGCCGGGCTCCCCTCCCTTACTTTTCCACTCCGCTATAGCCACAGCTTTGATATTTTAGCCTCGACCCATTCTCCCACTGCTTCCTGTCCGTCTCTCCCCACATCCACCCCCCACCTTGTCACTTTCTTAATACACTTAATTATTTTCACAAATAGTCAATTTAATTCAGCTCTGTCAAACCCCAAAAATTGTGAGCATTTAATAAAGATAAGACCTTTATGACATGATAATAAAGACTGCATTGGAAATGCATTGAAATTACAATACAGTCAAAAGATAAAAGGACAAATTAGGGAATACATTGTCTTATAATAAAATTTTACCTTGTCAAAATGTGGCGATACTGCCATCAAGTTTCATTTCTTCACAGTCGCCACTAGCAACAACTGTGAAAATAAGACATTGTCTTGCTCATTGCGACATAATATTTATAGAGGCCCCTGTGGTCTTGCAGGATCCTCCATTATATCACACATGTCCGAGGGGACATTAGTGACAATGGTTAACGGTGGATGAAGTGCAAGGAGTTGAAGACTAAAGATGACGCCACACGTAGCATAGAGCACGAAGTGGGCACAACTCACCCTTGCTGCACTCCCAGGCCACTGCTCTCCAAGCAGCAAAGTCACCATCAGGGATCTTTGCAAAATATACAAAACACCCAGGAAGATTCCAGATCCATTTAATAAAAAAGTTTAAAAAATACGCAGAAACTTAACTATTAAGAAAGAAATGTCTTCAATGTACTAAGTTTAGGAAGCATTGTATCTGTACTTGTACTAGTTTATGGGTCACAGGAGCATTATGCCTATAATACTCTAAATTCGGAATACATACTGTAGATTAGGGTGGTGCATATTTTTAAATGAAGGGGCCAAAAAATAATTCAGAATCACTGACATTATGACCTATTAAAACATATGGTATTATCAAGCAGACAGCTACCTTTCAGGTAACCGTGGCTGCTCATAGTATAAACAAAACCGTGTATGAATTTTGTGTTTGTAGTGCAAACATAATACGCATACACCATATTTGTGTAAACATATAACAGTATATCCACAAACATAACAGTCATACTAACCACACACCGGTAAAGATGGTGTGCAAACATGGCACAGCAGGAAACCACAAGCAGGAACATCCAAACCACTAACGGTGTACAGTGAAACACTATGTGACACACCAGTTGCTGCTGACTGCAGCTCCCATAGTCCCATTATGTATTATATATTAGTACCGGCGGGTACTGGCACAGGCGGCGGGTACTGGCACAGAGGGTAAGTACTGGCACAGGCGGCGGGTACTGGCACAGAGGGTAAGTACTGGCACAGGCGGCGGGTACTGGCACAGACGGTAAGTACTGGCACAGAGGGTGGGTACTGGCACAGAGGGCGGTGGGTACTGGCACAGAGGGCGGCGGGTACTGGCACAGACGGTAAGTACTGGCACAGACGGTAAGTACTGGCACAGAGGGCGGGTACTGGCACAGACGGTAAGTACTGGCACAGACGGTAAGTACTGGCACAGAGGGCGGCGGGTACTGGCACAGAGGGTAAGTACTGGCACAGGCGGCGGGTACGGGCACAGAGGGCGGTGGGTACCTGGCACAGACAGTGGCACAGAGGGCGGGGGTACTGGCACAGACGGTAGACGGCACAGAGGGCGGCGGGTACTGGCACAGACGGTAAGTACTGGCACAGAGGGCGGCGGGTACTGGCACAGACGGTAAGTACTGGCAGGGCACAGAGGGGCGGGTACTGGCACAGAGGGTGGGTACGGGCACAGAGGGCGGTGGGTACGGGCACAGAGGGCGGTGGGTACTGGCACAGAGGGCGGTGGGTACTGGCACAGAGGGCGGTGGGTACTGGCACAGACGGTAAGTACTGGCACAGAGGGCGGTGGGTACTGGCACAGAGGGCGGCGGGTACTGGCACAGACGGTAAGTACTGGCACAGAGGGCGGCGGGTACTGGCACAGAGGGTGGGTACGGGCACAGGCGGCGGTGGGTACTGGCACAGAGGGCGGTGGGTACTGGCACAGAGGGCGGTGGGTACTGGCACAGAGGGCGGTGGGTACTGGCACAGAGGGCGGGTACTTACGGGTTTAGTGTGTCCGGTCCCCGGCCCTGGCACAGGATGGGGTTGAGCTCGTCCTCCGGGAAGGCGTGCTTCATGTAGTTGTCGTAGCCGAAGGCGAACATGCTCCGCGCCATCTCCCGCATCTCCAGGCGGAGCCCGGCGGGGAACGAGCTGTACCGGCGGCCGTACTCATCCCCGGGGCCCACGAAGAAGCGACCGTAGGTGGCCCGGCACACGGAGGAGACCCCCTGCGCCGCTCCCCGCAGTGAGCCCGGGGGGAGGAGCCCGCGCAGGGCGTGCAGTCCGAGCCGGAGCACGAGCAGCCACAGCAGCACCGAGCACCACCGCATCCCGGGCACAGTGACACTTCCTGGTTAGACCCCGCCCACCCGCTCTGTGATAGGGCCCCCGCCCTGCCCATCGATTCCCTGCACTGTGGTTGGATGGAGTGTTGGAAACAAGGGTGAGTGGACACCCAATGGGAGAGACGCACGTCACTCCTGCCCAGGGTACGGCTTAATGTTTCCATAGAGACACTTCCGGGTTTGTGGGCGGCTCTACACCTCCTAGTGGAACATGCTTACAGCACTTGTCATCATCTGGACCAAAACAACAACAACACCGCCACCACCTGGGGACCGGGGCTGTCCAATCACACAGCTCCAATGCAGAAATATAGCCAGGTGTGAGCTTAGCTAAACTGGAGCATTATTATTATTATAAACAGATCAGCTGCTCTGTGTGTCTGGCCTTTCAGTCCATTATAATTCCAGGTTTAGGGAGTGATCCCCTTAAAGGGACATTACAGGCACCCAAAACACAGTGTCTCACTGAGGTGGTCTAGGTGGGGAACATCCCATGTCATTCATGGTTATTCACTAAAGGTAAACATTTAAAGTAAGTTTAAAACTTATGGCTAAAGTAGCCGAAGTGGAAGCAGGGCTGGTTTAGATAATGTTTCCAGTTTGGGTATTTATGGCTCCCTTTTAATTCACCTTGAATTCTTACTTTCGTGAATAATCCTGATAGTGTAAGTGTAGATGACAGGCAGTTTTTTTTACTTTTACCTTAAATTTGAATCACTTCACTTTGAATCCACAACAATACTCACTTTAGTAAAAATCCTGCTAATGTTAATCTTCAGGTTAAATAGTAACCCCGTGACTACAGCAGAATTCCAGAACTGTATTTTGCCCTAATTTGTTTTTTTTAAAGTGACTCAGTCAACTTCAAGGGTCTTTGCATATTTTGCAAAGACCCATCAAAGTGACAACCTCACATTGGGTGCCTTGTATGGTATATACTCTTCTCCCCCTCCCCGATCCCAGTACATAATTTACCATCTTAAGCCCCATTAAGGACACTTTACATTACTACTAGTGCCTTCATGGACCTATTAATCCACTCGCTCATTTCGCTTCTGTTAATTATCATCTGATCTAAAATGTCCCCATATTTGTAAATGCTGTTAACTGCACTCAATTTTGTAGTACTATACTCCGCATACCCCTTTATTAAAGCAACTCTAGGGGTAAAAGATTGCCCCCTCCCCTAAACCTACTGTCACCAAATGCTTTTTTCTAATATACTGTAAAAATGAGCTTTAGAAGTACCTGTTTTAACCTTTAACTTTGATCACATTTTTTCTCATGTGATTGCATGCCATTTCTCTCTGCTTTCTCCCTGCTTCCTGTATTTCAGTCAGACTGTCCACCAATGGCCATGCTCCAGTGTTTCTCTATGAGAATCAGTAATGACACACCAACAATGCCTGCGCAAGAAGTACTGAAGCAGTTACACTACAAATACAGCATTCAGACACTAGAACTTACATACCACATCACTCACACAATTTCCTCACCACATTAGGTATCTTATAGTGTCATATGTTTATTATAAACAAATATATAAGAGGACAGATAAATACCTATAGAGCGTTGTGCTATTTCTCACTATCTAGATCTCTTTCTATCTGTATATTTATCTCTCTTTCTATGTATCTAATCTATCCATTTCTCTATCGCTCTATCTAGGGAGATTGAATTACAGGGACTGGCAAGGAAGGGGCTAACAGTGGGTTGTGCGGTTGGCTGGCAGTGATTAACAGTGGGTGGAGAGGTTGGCTATCAAGAAAGGGGTTAACAGTGGGTAATGAGTTTGGCTGACGAAGAAGGGGTTTAACAGTGGGTTGTGAGGGGGGTGGCTAAGGTAACTGGTTTACACTTGGCTTAACTTGTTTAGCTGCCTGGAGTGTCCCTTTAACCCACGGGGTCAATGTGCAATTTGATGAATTATATGTTAACCTTATGACCTGTTCTTGGTCTTCTGAACTTTTGTTTTTCATGAAAAGAAAAGAAATGTGCTTACATCATCGTATGCACAACCTGCATTTATTGATTGTCATCCTTTCACTCATTCTTTAATGTCATGAAAATGAATGCAAAGAACCTAAAAATAAAGAATACAATTTTAAAACTACAACTTCCATGATGTTTTGCCAGCCTAAAGACATGCAAAGCATCATGGGAGTTGTAGTTCAACATCTGGGGATCTACCTTTTGGGTACCCCTGTGTTAGACGATAGACAGAGGAAAGAGCAGCAAAGGATGGGAACGCAGCATGGTTAGTATATTGAGTTTGACACCCTTTCTTCTTGCCTCTCTCCACAAAGCATCTTTTCCTCTTGTAAATTTGCAATATTTTGAAGATGTTACATACAATACGTAAGCTTTGATGCTTGCCAACAGTTTCCTTTTAGATCAATGCATTTTACTGAAAAATAATACAATAATAAAAAAACTAAGACCAAACAAATACAACTATGGTTATATAATCAATCCATACAGAGCAACAGAAATTAAAGCAACACATTGACCACATAACAGGGTGGATTCAGACCTTTGTGATTGTAAACTTTTTGTGGAAATAAGGAATTCTTTCAAAGTTATTCACGAAAGAGAGAACAGTTCAAAATTCAAAAGTGAATTAAAATGTAAGACCAAAATAGCTGAAGTGGAAATATTCTCCAAGTCAGCTATGCTTTCAATTCAGCTACTGTGGCCTTAAATTTTACAGGTTTTTTTACATTTTCAACAATTCTCACTTTAGTAAATAAGCCAAAATAATCAAGTTGGCCAAATTCCTTGTTTGTATTATAATGTTGTTTCTATATTTAGATGATATTCATTGTCTAAGCATGTTAGTAGGTATGTTCAGCCAAAAAGGCTACACCAATAGCAATATGATGAAAGATGAGTCAGGCCAGGGGAGACCCTTGGTTTGTATCAAATTGTTTTTAAATCAGTGTGTCATTACACAATAATCACTACAAAGGCTTTAATGGCTATGGTCCGTAGAGTGTTTCCTTAAGTGCATTGGGAATGTGTTGGCAAAATTTAAGATCATCATAAAAAAGTCAATCATTTTATTTTGTGAAGATGATGAACCTTTAGCAAACAAGAAGACAAAAAAAAAACACCACATGAATATTTTGTTTAACCGGTTTATTTTACACATTTCATCTAAAACTCAACTGTGCAGAGTCCTGGCAGGAAATGGGTTTAACATTTTTGCCATAAATAAAAATACATTAAGCTTTGATTTAGAAACAAACTCTTTACAGTTAAAATACCCTATAAAATCTTAGGTTGTAGCGCATTCCAGGGGTTGGTGCCAGGTCTTTATGGTATCGATAAGGATTTTAAAAAAGAAAAAAAAAATCCCAATATATTTACAAATAAGTTTATGGACATGATTGTTATACAAGCAGCCGATTAGATTCACAGAATGGAGGATTGGTGAAAGCTAGCAATATTATTATTATTTATTCACAAATTCCGTAGCGCTACAAATTCCGTAGCGCTGTACAATTTCCACGCAATCTCCTTATACAGTCATAGAGACCAAAGGGTTAATCGCCATAACAGCTAAAATTGCAACATATGTGGGATCATACCAGACCCTAGGCCAAAGAGAGATAACCCTGGTCAAGCAGATGTTTATGAATGGCATTTCCCATGATGCTCAGCAATACATTCATAAGATATGTGGTTCACAAATATCTGTAGTACCAAAAGGTAGCCATCAAAGGCCTAGACAGTGCTAACAGTTAAGGCACCATGGAAGGTATGTGCAAGTAAGGACACAATTATTGCGTTAGTCTAAATAATGATCATAGCAGAAAATATAGACTAGAAAAGAAGTGGCACATTACTTATGTAAACTGGTAGATACAATGTGCAGATTTAGGAGAAATACTAATGAAGATCTTTAACATTTGATATAAGAATATTTCCATATACATCATTCCTATTTTTATACATTCAGAACAATGTAATTTAAGTCTGATGTTACAGCTACCTTCTGAAAAGGCACGGCCTGGGCATATCGTGCAAAATCATTTCACAATCAACCAAAGAAGGGGTCTCCTTCACACAGGTTGTCCCTTTTCCTTTACAGTTTTAAATGCATTTCATAAACTGGGGCTTGCTCTCTCTATGTGCGATATTAATCTACATTCACATAGAACAGTGTGGATTTATTTTCCAAAGCTAGCATGACTTTCAGGAACAAGAGGAGCCATCAGAAAAAGTAAGTAACATTGACTACGACAGACTACGTTGGTTGTAATCGTAAGAAAATATTCCAAAACAACCCCAAGTATTAACAGACTGACATAGCAAATTTCATTCCTACATCAATAGTGTTTGGTTGGATGAGTACAGTATAAAGCACCAAAAGCCAATGTCACATTTCATCATTAAAGGACCACTATAGGTATCCAGACCACTTTTTTAATAAGCCCCGTTATTAAGTTAGTATGTTTTCCTGGCACTATAGTGGTCCTTTAAAAGCCCCGTTATTCAATGTTTCTAATGACACTGAACACTTTAACATGCAAAGTTTTAAATAAAGCTTATTTTATACTTTTAGCTTCTTGTGGGAGTTCTGTACCAAAGGTCCAATTACACATTATACCACTTGGACTGCATTCCCTTGATGCTCAGTAAGCATTGACTAGCTAAGCATTGTCGGAAATGTTATTCACAAATGTCTGAAGTGTCAAGGTCAATCATTATTATTTTACTATTTATATAACGCAATCAAATTCCATAGCGCTGTACAATCATCACTGGTATATACAGTACATCATTATACGTACTATATGTACAGTATTTATATATGCATATCCTATCAGCCATTGCTCCTACAATGCTTTTTTTTTTATTGTACGTCTTACCCTGGTTTTGCGGAGAATAAAATAAAGTTGGCTCTAATGGCCTGTTTAATTACATATATCTAAGAATACAAGTGAGAACCAACCTATATAAACATACACTCAGGCCTAGAAAAATAATCAATGATTTGCACTTGTCAAGTGAAAAAGTTACTAATCAGGAGGGAAAAGTTTACATTATATAATATTTTAACATGCGTACTAAACTTCTTCACGCATCACTAACTAATGGTATTTGCACTTTGTGATATGTACAGAACATTTTTTTATTAACTTTAGAAGATGCAAGATTTTAGGTTTGTTTTTGTTTTTTTAAATTATTGCGAAACATTAGATCCAGGGTGGACAACTTTTGTAAAACTATTACTCCCTCGATGCTCTGACAGCCTGAAGACTGACAAAGACTCATGGGAATTGCAAATCTTGGGATCCATTTTTCTGCAATCTTTGCATTAGTTGATACCAGATGCATTTTCTCAAAATGAAAGCTTTAAATAGGTGAGAGGCCACTTGTTAATTATTGACATTAGAGCAGGGCATCTCCGACATATAATGCCTCTCGAGAAACAAAACAATTATTTATTACAAAGGCTTAAAGGGATACTATAGTCACCAGAACAACTACAGCTTAATGGAGTTGTTCTGGTGAGTATAATAGCTCCCTTCAGGCATTTTAATGCAAACACTGCCTTTTCAGAGAAAAGACTGTTTACATTGCCCCTAGGGACACCTCCAAGTGGCCACTCCTCAGGCCACTGGAGGTGCTTCCTGGCTCATTGCTGCACAGTAAGCAGCCCTGCCGTTCAGCGTTCCCACAAATTTTCCTCGTAGCCCTGCCCCCATGCCAATTTTAGCCAATCCAATGCTTACCCAGTGGGAAAGCATTGAATTGGCTGAAAATCGGCCATTTTGATGTCACAAAGGGGGCAGAGCCAGCACCAGCAGAGCCACACGGCGCTGGAAACAAGGCAAGTTTTAAACTTTTATAGGCAGGCTAAGGGGGGCAAGCCACCTACATGGTGATTTTAGCACTATAAGGTCAGGAATACAGGTTTGTGTTCCTGACCCTATAGTGATCCTTTAACCCCTTAAGGACCAAGCTTCTGGAATAAAAGGGAATCATGACATGTCACACATGTCATGTGTCCTTAAGGGGTTAATGAACAAGCCCGTAAAATGGTTGTGGTTTTCAGTATGATGGGGAACACAAGAAAGTTTCCTCTTCCATCAGGAAACTCCTTTGATTCTCATCAGATTATGTTATAGGCACAAGTAAAGCGCAGCAACAAATTTAAAAAAATATAAATATAGCAGCAGTGTATCATTGGCTAAAGCAGAGAGTCTGACAGAGAATTGCAGCAAAAGCAAGTGTCACAAACACATCTTGCAAAGGTAGAGGGAAGGAGAACTACCAAGCATATGTGATGAGCTTACAGTAGGGGAAGAAATGGAAGACAGAGCTCCAATGCTGCAACATATGGGTTCCATGTTTGGAGAGAAGAGTGCAAACCATTAATTTTGTTTGCTTTCTTCTAAAGTGTGATTGCTCAGCATTATGATGGGCAAGTACCGGTAAAAAAAAATTTTATGTCCTGCTCTGCACACAGTAAAATCAGTAGTACATTTTTATCCATAAAGCACAACTGGCAGATGTCAAAAAACTATTTTGAAAAATCAAAGGCATCTCAAAGAAGAGGAAAGGTCACCTTGAGATGAGACTGAGGTGGATTGACTTTTACAGTGATGGAATTAAAAGATTTTTTTAAAATTCACTGGATCTTCCGACATATTCAGATATACACATTCAAAGATTGTCCAGAGCTGGCTATATTGTACCTGCCGTGACATATGACTTTCACATTGTGCCAACATGGATATGTAGACTGCAAAAAAAATAAAATATCACCTCTCACCAAAAATGTGTAACAGCAATATTTCTGGCAAGCATATGCGATATAGGTGATATTTAGAATTGGATTTTTTTTTTAAATTTTTTACAGAAATGTGGTAAAATTGAATGGTCACTACACACAAGAGTTCCACACTCAAAACATTTTGGCCAAGACATTAATGTTCATTCTGCTTTATCGACTGTCTTCCAGCCATTAATGGATGTGATGGTTTGCACACTCTGCTGAGTGAATTCCAGGACTTGAGGTGTAAGAATAGAAAATGACCAAATCAGGATTTCCGGAACATGGTGCATCTCTTGTGGGTGGTTGGCAACTGAAAAAGATTCTTATTTCTGGATGACTGTCCATGGAACATGGGTCCAACTTCGAATGTTATAAGTAAAAAATTATTCATTCTTTTTGTGATGATTAGAAAACATACATCCACTGTTTTTAATGAAGAATGACGACAATTCCCACAGGAAAGAATATGAGGGTATTCTTTAAAGAAACCTCCAATCTAGCCATGGTAACTGGCACAACCAGTAGGGATGGGATAAAACCACCATAATGATGGAGAGATAAAAAAATATATATATAGAACTCAATCAGCAAGTCATAGATAAGAAGGTCTAAGTAAATTAAAATGGGGAGGGGGCAGATGCTTTTTTTTGCAAAAAAACATACACCAGTTATACAAAACAAAAATAGGAATTGTTTGATGATGCTATTAGATGCATGGTTGGCATTTTGATGTCTGGAGTTTTACTTGTATGCCTTCAAAAATTGTCCTGCACTACAAAAAAAAAATAGTTGCCCCTTGGTATTTCACCCCCACCCCCCTTTGTTTGGGCATATCTCCATTAAAAACTTGATTAAATCCTTATTTCCAGGTTCCCATGAACCCCCCCACTTATAGATTATACATATTTCCTGATAAATTAGAATATGCCATGATTTTAAACAAGTCTTTAAACAGTCAGAATATAACAGCCTACTTCTGAAGATTGATATAGTAATGTGCCAACAGCTCTTCTTAATGCCACTATACCATTATTTCCAAAATTACTTTACATAATTCCTTAATCTTAAAACACAAAAAAAAAAAACCACAGCCAGGGACTATTTCCTGTGCTGTCATCGCAGATTTATATATCAAGCTCAAAAAGACATTACTTTCATAAAAGGGCATTAGCATTCTATAAATTAAATCAGCAAAACATGAGTATTATTGAGTTAATAGTATGTTATTATATTAGAACAAAAAGGCCCCAGGTCATATTTTAAAACTTACGAAAGCCAAATGTATCATTTTTGGATAAATAAATATTTTTATATAATTGGTATTTCTTGGTATTTCTGATTTGAACAATAAAACATACTTTTTTATGTGAAGGGGGGGGTCATAATTTCAAATACTACAGTTCAGTCCAATTATGTCCAACAGTTTTGACCAGTGACTAACTTTACAATAGACGGGACACATCCCATGTACCCAGATTTCAATTCCTTTGATATTTCATATAAGCACTCTATTTTTAACCTACCACTTTACCAGCATGACATTCAAACCTTCCATTTTATAGCGATTATGCATTTTATGTATAGCATTTCAAAAGGTCACACCATCAGATAGCGAGGTTTGAAGTTTGCAGACACAGTTTGCAGGCAGCTGGATCGTATGGATCAATAGTATTTCTTAATATAAGAAAAGTCAATCCTTTCCAATATGTAAAAATGCTACAGTTCATCCATAGTTACGTCTTAGGTATAAAGCTGTAGCAATATCTGGTGTCTGCCGTTTTAATAGGCAACTGACCAATTGTTTTTTGTTTACTAGTCCCAGAAAAAAAAAAATAGTTATGAATAGCTACATCTAAATATTTTACATGCAAGTGATTTATCACTCCCATCAAAATTATAAATATATATATATATATTAGATATATCATCATTTGTTAATATTACATTTATATTGCTTATCTTGGAAACAATCTATCAGGATGCTGCCTGAAAGGAATATGAAGATACCTTGATGCTAAACAACTGACCCTTTCTATGCTTTAATTAGTGGTCAGTAATTCATATTACCAATATCCTATTCAATTTATTATTTTCCCTGATGGTGTAAGGTTTATCTCCTGTTCTAAATACAGCTGACACTTCACTCTCCCAACATTTTCTATCATCAAGGTCAAAAAGAAGAAGAGGAGCAGGACTTAAGGTACATATAAAGTGCAAGGAGACAATTAACTAGCAGTTTACAGGCTGGACAGCTGGTAAAGGATGGGACAGTAAGAAGATGGAGGAGATGAGCCAACTCACAAGGAAGGACATCATGAAGGATAGGACGGCCAATTCCAAGGATGATATATTACAGGGAACAGCTGATATAAAGTCCCCTCCAAGAGTTGATAAATCTTGGAGGCTCAACTACACACCTAGTAGGACAGCTTACAAGTGACAGTCACTCTCCCAGTATGGACAGCTTTGACAAAATAGTCAATATCTAGGGTGGACAGGTCGGTTACACAACCAGAATGGCAGATTAGATCAAATGGTTACAACTTGAAGTGGGCAGCTTAGAGGGTTGGTCACAAACTCAAAATGGACAGCTTACCAGAGGCATTCTCAAATCAGCATTGGTTAAGCAACATGGTAAATAGCCACTAAATTTAGAGGAGCATGGACAAGGCACATCCCACAATGAAGAGGTCTCGTCCTCTTGTTGGGAATCAAATAAATCCTTGGTGAACAGAATAGGAAAACTGCAGGGTGCACATTACGAGCTGGAAAGGCAAGTCTGTGGGTGCAGAGCAGGTGGTCTTCTCCTAGAGTGCAGAGCGGCAGAAAATATTGCAGGAACCTTTAGCTGCGGCGTGACTTGGAATGCTGGATTAGCCACTGAAGAGTGATATCTAAGGAGAAAGGTTATTAAAATAAGGACCCCACACTACAGCACAGTCTTCCACACACACAACGCTCAGCTTCTCACCTATGTTATCCTTCTCTTTACAGGAGATGGAGTAGCAGCAAATTTCCCTGTCCTGGATCAGTGAAAGGCTCCTGGGCAGGGAGAGAACGTTTTAAAAATATTAACACAGCATATATGTAAAAGAGAAATAAAATGAAACAACAAAAGGTACCAAGCTTACAAAAAAAGGAAAGCTCAATATGTGTTGCATTAGTACTGTAAACATCGCACAATCCAAAATCATTAGAAACATTATGTAAAGAAGAAGTAACTGATGGCTCTCCTGCCCAAAAGGTGTAGGCAAGGCTCTTGGAAGCAGTTGGTAAACAAAAGCTGTAGTGCCACCTGGTGGACACCTCTGGTGAAAACCATTTCTTCAAAGTGCATAAGAACAAAATCTTCCGCCAAAAAAGCAGGGTATTACTTAGAAATAGTATATTTGTGGAGGAGTGGCAAGGGAACTGGACAAGAGAAATCGCAAATAGAATATTTCTCAAATTCTGTAATATTTTACTGCTTTAATATATTGGCCCAAAATGTCAGTTATCCATTATCTCATAGTACTGAGTTTAGTATATTGGGAACTGTAGGCTGCAAACCATGTGCAATGCCAACATAAGCCATCAATGATCGAAGAGCTGTGGGAAGAGCGGTGTATTTCCTTGGCTCAAACCGACCTGCTGGTACTGCCAGACTACATATACTACTAGAGGCACAGATATTTCTCCCTTGGCACAAGATGTAAAAACCTCTGAGGTTAAAGTTTTAAGTGTTTAAAGAGCATTCTAAGCACCCTAGCCCATTATAGTAGTAATGGAATCTGAGTTTTTCCCCAACCCACAATTTGCTGTTAAACGGTTTATAAGTGGTTTGACTGCAAAAAAAAAAAAAAAAAAACAGGACCCAATTTAGCATGATTCATTGTACTCTAAACGGCAATGACAATCTGCAAGCACCGAGGGTGGATTTAGGACACAGTAAACAATTGACAATTCTCAGTTTAGTGAGTATCCTTACAATAAAGTATTTTGAATATAGTGTTACTTTAATATACTCTGTGGAATGCTTTTGTGTGTAAGGCATTCATTAAATTTCCTTAGTTTTATATTTACTGACATGACATTATACACAATTTGTTGTTTGTTTTTCTTTCTTAATGTATTGCTAAAAAGAGAAGCATGTTGAAGATTCCGACACTATATATACACTTTTTTTTTTCACCACAATGTATTAGTATTAGGACTTTATACACCATTTATTCTATTTTCCACTTTACAAGTAAGCAGCCTGTCTGTCACTGCATGATCACGCTTTGTAAGAGAAGATCAGTGCCACGACATGGAACACAGGTTATTTCTAAAGCTGAGCAGCAGTGGACTTTCACATTTCCCAACAGTTTACATACTTAGAATTTGTACTTTCTTATCAATAAGATTAAGCAAGAAAGAATAAATAAGCCCTTGACCCTACAATGAGGAAGAATGAGAACTGTACAATTCCAGGAATTTCCTGCATGGCTGCAAAATGGCATAGCACTTCTTGCTAAATTAACCATTTCCATGTCAGACCATCCCACCCCACCCCTTTTTTTACTGCCACGTACATTTTTTCAATGAGCTGCTTCTCATCCAGTGCACTGGAAAGATCTCGCTTGTTACCAAGAACCAAGACCTGAGGGAAAAAAAAAACAAAAAAACATGAAATACATTGCAGAGGTTAAAAGAAAACGTTAAACAATACCCTGGCAGTTCAGGTTGCAAACATTTAGTTCTCGGAGTACCAGAGAAGCGTTTATTTTCTTGATGTGCAATGTGATGAGCACACTTATGGTTAAAGGAGGACTTCTCCTGGAAAAGGCATCTTGAACTAAAGACACATATTTTAAAACATGGGTATTAATGCATCCCCAACCCTAAAAAAGCTGCATCCTCCTTGATGGAATTCTGAAGTTTAGATGAATACACTGTTGGCTACCCAAACCTGGTCTGCAAGCTCAATGAAGAGGAAAAGTTAAAGGGGCAGTAAATATCACCCACAACAAGCTGTGTAATATACAGCCTCCTCAAGCTAAGTAAAGTAAAATGAGAGCACCGGAGCTGGAAGGTGACTATCACAACACACTACTAGTATTGAAACAGACCAGATATAGGGGATTATTTGCATTTTCTGCAAAACCCACGGAGCACTTTCAAATCACTGTAAGCTTGGGCTTTAAAGGGACACTACAGTGGTGGGAACACAAATTTGCATTCCTAACTTTATAGTCTTAATGTCCATTGTTAGTTTCAGCACCCCCTCCCCTTCTCAATATCAATCTATGACAGCATTGCACGTGTTATCACAATATGCCTGGGTATGAGAGCCAGGAAGTAACAGTCCCTTAGCCAATGGGCTTGAAGGTGTGGTTGGAAACCATGCTTCCAAGAATTCTAACTATTAGAATATTGCAATTTTGAAGCTAGGACATGGGGGTGTGGGGTTACCGAAGCTACCATAAAAACTTTATTTAGATGACGTTTTTCTAGAGAGTACAGGGTTGCTTTCATCCCTGAGTTTGGGCAAAGCTGCAGATGACAAAAGTTAATAAATGGGAGGGGAGGGGAGGGGAGGGGAGGCGTGGCTGGCTGGCCGGCCTACTGAGGAGTCATGCATGAGTGGAGCTCTGGCTTCATAAGCTCATAAAATATCTTTTAGCCATGAATTTACTGAAAATGTAAGGAGCAGCAAAGGCCTTATAACCAACCACAGAGAGATGGAGCAAAAGGACCCCGTTCAGAGGGTACAAATCTTCCTGGCAATTGACTGTTCTTTGAAAGACTACAGACGCAGGCCTGAATCAACATGGCGCCTGAGAGGCCACATACCTCTAGCGACTATGACTCTTCCCAAGATGGAGAGGAGAACTGGACACCGCAAGCAGCTAGCGGAGCATACCAGAAGACTCACTTCGAATTGGATGTTTTCCCTCCACAAAAGGAGACATTAACAAGCTCATACTGGATCTGAGAGAGGTCCGGAAAGCAGAACTTGCCAGAGTGCAAGCGGAGGTTGGCGGGCTGCGGCAGAGGCTTGGGGATGTTGACTCTAGGAAGTGGAATCCCTAAGTTCAATGCCTTTCCCATACAGTGGCTTCACTAGAAGCGCGGCACCGCCGGAAATATTAGAATCTGTGGAGCTCCAGAGTAGGTAGGTCCAGATGGAATACGTCCTTAAAGTTATACAGGCGATGGAAGTGCAAAGGGACAGCGAGCAGTCATAGTTTCGGCCTTCGGTATAAGAAAGGCGCCAACCTCCACCACAGACGCATTGAGAGACAGAATAGCAATTACTAGGGACATTGTCATGAAAACATCCATAATGGCTCCCTCAGGTGGCTCCCCACAGTTACTGTGAACAACTGTAGAATCACAATCTTCAATGACCTACCCTTCTCAATCCTTTATGGACATACAAGTTTAATCCCGTGACTAGGGCCTTGAGGAAACTGAGCAATAAGTACAAATGGGGGATGTCAGAACTCTGGTGATACAACGGGGGGACGAGGTCTATGCCCTTTCGGCCTCAGAAGACCCAGCAGAATTCTTTTAAAACTTTCAGTTGCCACTGGTCCCATCCGGAAAGCGAGGGGAAGTAGCGGCCCAGAAGGCCACTATCCCCAGAGCGGAGCAGGAACCCAGTTCCCGAAGGGCACAAAACACAGTTGCCGCCCATCACGTGTTAAGGGTTAATAAGTATGTAGGATTTAAAAAATAAATAAAAATACAGCTTTCTGTCTTATTAGAGATTTTCTTTTGCTTTAAGCTGAAGCAAGCAAGGTGAATTGTTAGTGTAGCACCCACCTAAGAGGTTTGCCTTGACTTGGCAGGTGGGCTTGCATCTAATGGCCATTGGAGTGGAACTAAAAACCTCCATTTATATAAATATGCATAGGGATTTAGAATAGTGCGCAAGTAACTTTTTTTTTTCTCTTCATCAGATATTCAGATACTGGGACTACTTTACGCCATAGCCAAATAGCATTATCAAGGTCCCACATCATCATATGCATCTCAGCAGAAAAAAAAATTTAAAAAAAAGGAGAAGAGAGAAAGAGAAAGAAAAGAGAGAAATAAAAAAATAAATAAAAAAAAGAAGAATATAGCTCTGCCTCTATTTCTATCATTAATGTTCTATTTTACATTAGTATTTTATTTGCTCATCGTCAGTTTATCGTAAAATAGTCTTATTATGATAATCCTGCCCAGAATTTTATCCAAGGGTCCCATTTCTTTTCCCTGGGTCAACCAATGAGTCTCTTCTAGTTCCCTTAATGATTCCACTCTAATAATCCATTGTTTTACAGTCGGATGCTAGGTTTAAGCCAATACAACGGGATCAAAGCATTTGCCTCATTCAATAGAAAACTTAACATCTGTTTATTGTTCTCATTGAAAGAAGCTGGCCAGCCCAGTAAGATCTTAGATGGGGATAATTGATCTGGCATTGGTAAAATCTTATATATGACACTCAATACTTGAATCCAGTAGTTCCTAATAAGTTTACACTCCCACCAGATGTATTTCATGTTTGCTCCCTTCTCCCCACATCTCCAGCATTCATCCAATGCAGTTACACCATATTTCTTAAGTCGGTCTTGGGTATTATACCATCTAATAATTCTTTTAAAGAAAGTCATTTTCCTAGCAGTGCTTACCTGGGCTTTCATTCCCATTTTGAACACAAATGACCAGTCAGTGCCAATCAGTTCAATCCTAACATCCATTTCGACTGAAATGAGGGTACTATCTTATCCATGGAACCCCTCTGAATTAGGTTATAAATACTAGACAGATATCGTTTTTTATCTATCCCGGTACCACAGAGTAAATCAAACTCAGTTTTATCTCGTCTGCCCGTATGGTAACACTTTTTGCTTTAAAAAAAAAAAACAACTTTAAATAAACCATACCCATTTTATCTAGAAGTGTTGTCGTATTGTCACAGCTAGGAAACTCTCTTAATCTATTGGGTGTATCGTCTATTATTAAACTTGTTACTGGCGGGTCTACTTCTCCCGTTCCCAGTATTTTGTGGCTCATCCCATGGTGGAACTCCAAGTTTGATGCAACTGGAAAAAATACTGAAAGTCCCGGGGATAGCCTCCATCTATCTTTAAGCCTTCTCCAAATCTATATTATATGGTTTATAATTGGGTGATTAGAAGGTGATAATAAATTTAATTTACAATTCTGCCATGGTATGGTCTCCAATTTAACCTTTATAACATCTTGTTCTAATTCATACCAAGGCTTTTTTTTTGTCTATAGCTGTCCATTCTCTAATTCGCGCACATAGTACCGCAACATAGTATTGAGAAAGAAGGCCTTGGCCTCCCACATATTTATAAACTGGTAAAGTCAATGTATTGTACGCGATACGTGGATGTTTATTATTCCATATAAATGAAAGCAATAAATGAAAGCGATCGTACTTTCGCAAAAAAGACTTTCGGCAGCGAGAGAGGCAATGTCTGGAATAAGTATAATACCTTAGGAAGTATCATCATATTTATGATGTTAACTCTCCCTATTAATGAGTAGAAGGGTTGGTTCCAATTTTTTTTAAATCTTCAATTTTTCTTAATAATTTTCCATGGTTTAGTTTAAATAAATCTTTTAAATGAGCCATCAGATGTATTCCTAAGTATATTATGCTAGAGTCTGTCCACTTATACCTATAAAGCTTCTGTATTTTCTCCTTAATTCCTATGCTTATCACTCCTCCCAATATTTGAGATTTGTCTGTATTTACCTTAAAATTAGATAGAGTACCGAATTTCTCTAATTCTTCCTGAACAGAAGGAAGTTTATATTGAGGTTCTATAAGCGTGAATAGGACATCATCCGCGAAAGCGGTTACTTTAATCTCTCCTCCCGTATACTTATATCCTTTAATATTGGTATTTCTACGTATAGCTTCTAAAAAAGGTTAAAATGCTAAGACAAAAAAGAAGAGGGGACAGCAGACATACCTGACGAGTGCCATTATTAATAATAAAGGGGTTCGAAAGTAGACCATTAATCCGCACCATGGCTGAAGGGCCTTTATACAATATCTGTATCCAATTACAAAATCTCGGACCAAGCCCCCATGCCTCCAACATTGCAAACAGATAGGACTGATCCACCCTGTCAAAGGCCTTTTCAGCATCAATTGTTAACAAAACTGGCTTTTTTTTATTATAGCTCCATGTAATACATTCAAGATTTTGGTAGTATTATCTCTGGCTTCACAGCCAGACACAAAGCCAACTTGATCAGGGTGGATCAGTGCAGGCATAAGGGGCTTGAGTCTATTTGCTAGAAGTTTTGCTAATATTTTTAAATCAAGATTAATAAAAGAAATCGGTCTATAACTGCTGCATAATTCTGAATCTTTTCCATCTTTATATATCACAGCAATTACAGCTCTCAACAATGATGGTGGGATGTCAGTAGTTGAAGACAATCCATTGAAGGCCCTGAGAAAGTGTGGGACAAGAATGTTTTTCTTAGTTTTTTTGTGTATGTATCGGGGCTGATGTGTACTATGATCATTGCTGCCGCCCAAAAGTAGTGTGAGTTTGAGCGCAGGACTTATTTTTGTGTAGACGCACGTTTATGTCCATGATTGGGGCCTTGTGCGGAACGGAAAATCAAGTACGGATGGGGGATGTCAGAACCCTGGTGGTACAACGGGGGGGGGAGGGGGGGGAAGATGAGGTCCATACCCTTTCGGCCTCGAAAGACCCAGCAGAATTCTTGCAAAGGCTCCAGTTGCTGCCATTCCCATCCAGAAAGCGAGGGGAAGTAGCAGCTCAGAAGGTCACTATCCCCAGAGCGGAGCAGGAACCTAGATGCCGAACGGCAAAAGACACACACTCCCGGACGGCAGGTCCTTACACCAGCCCTTCTGGCACTCACTACATTCCATTAAATGCTCAAAGCCTGACAAGATGATCAGACACTGCAAATGTTGCTTTATTCTTATTTCATTGTTTGTTTCACATGCATATTCAGAGTGCCTTTCTATATACCATACGTGCATAACTTGTGTGTTACGCTTTTATTTTTTATTTAACTGCCATATTTTTCTATATTGTGCATCATTATTAAATCCTGTGGTGAAGCCCACAAGTAAATAAAGAATTAAAAAAAAAAAAAAGATAATAAATGGCAGAGATTCTGCCACCAACCTCTATAACTTCACAGCAGCCATCACTTCCAACAGCTGTGGCAAAATATGCAATGACTTCAAAACTGACAAAACCGCTTTAACAAATAGATTGAGGAGTGGTCAGGGAATAATGCAGGTGTGTGTGGGAGGGGGGGGAAGGGGGGGGGAGAATCTAATCACATACCGGAATACCCTGTAATTGTGGTTTTTCCAGAAGGTTGTGTAGTTCATTACTAGATGCTTCAATCTTCTCTCTGTCTGCAGCATCAACCATGTACCTGTCAAGGAAAACATGTCAGAGTTCTTAGTTTGATATACCTAAGATAGCCAAGATGTCTATTTATTGATGTATTTTTTTCATTGGAGTATATTTAAAAACAGCTTGTAAAAGATGAAGATCTTTTCTTTGAATCAGTTTAAAGCCTTGCTTTTCTAATCCCGCCCAGACTTTCTGTGGCTGTCCAATCATAGACCTCCTAGTGCAGCCCAATGAGAAGTCTTTGCAAGGCAGCTGCTCTGACCCTCCTCAGTTTACCTCCACTGAACTATACAACCAAGAAGTAACAGGGCCAGTTGTCTGATTGGCAGCAAGGGGGTGTGATATGGTTAATTTACAAAAGATTACATTTCTATTGAAATCTGCATTTTTTGTAAAATGAAAAAAATGGCACATTATTATTATTATTTTATTATTTATATAGCGCCAACAAATTCCGTAGCGCTGTACAATGGGTGGACTAACAAACACATAATTGAAATCAGACCACTGACGTACAGGAACAGAGGGGGTTGAGGGCCCTGCTCGATGAGCTTACATGCTAGAGGACACATAAAGTACTTCAACAAGCTAATATGCTTTAGGGGTGTAAATGTTCCAGCTTGATACACCTGGCAGAACCTATTCCTAGCTTGGGAGGGATCTGCCCGATTAAGCACTTGCCTGTGGAAGTACTGTAGTTTTATGAACTTTGGAATTAGCACCATCATTTGTACATCTCCCCTCAATGCAACAGAATGCTACCTCTCCCAATCCTAAAGCAGCAGAACGCTTCTCTCCCAATCCTAAAGCAACAGAACGCTATCCTAATGCAGCAACAGAAGCAGAACACTACGTCCCAATCCCAATGCCCAATGCAGCAGAACACATGCAGCAGAACGTCCCAATCCCATACCACATGCAGCAGAACGCTCCCTCCCATACCACATGCAGCAGAACTCTACCTCCCATACCACATGCAGCAGAACTCTACCTCCCATACCACATGCAGCAGAACTCTACCTCCCATACCACATGCAGCAGCTACCTCCCATACCACATGCAGCAGAACGCATCCCTCCCATACCACATGCAGCAGAACTCTACCTCCCATACCACATGCAGCAGAACTCTACCTCCCATACCACATGCAGCAGAACTCTACCTCCCATACCACATGCAGCAGAACACTACCTAACATACCACATGCAGCAGAACTCTACCTCCCATACCACATGCAGCAGAACACTACCTCCCATACCACATGCAGCAGAACACTACCTCCCATACCACATGCAGCCACTATACCACATGCAGCAGAACACTACCTAACATACCACATGCAGCAGAACACTACCTAACATACCACATGCAGCAGAACAATGCCTCCAAATCCCAAAGCAGCAGTACATTACCACCCATTCCCACACAAATGTGATACTTAATATATGAGCAGAGGGAAGGCTTTGCATGCTGCTTTCTAAACATACTCTTTCCAATTACCTAAGCAAGACCAAAAACCTTAATTAACAAATCAGCCACATTATCCATCAAAAAAATGTAAACAAGATGACTAAATTCTAGTCAACCAAAAAAAATTAGCTCAATATTTAATGCATCCAAGTTCCCATGTTTCTATTTCACTACTTCTCTACATACACTGAACTGACATTCACTTACACTATTGCATTGACACCCCGACAATAACGTTCCCACATGCTGCGGAAACGTGGTTGGCCTCCAATATCCCATATCTGTGGAAACAAGCGGAAACAAACTCAGTTACACATACCACATTTCATTTAAACAGCTCCCAGCTGTACAGCTTCTTACTACGTGGGGATAGAGAAACCATATTGTACAAATATATAAAAATCATTAATAGCTTATTCTCTAAAATGGGAATTGACCGAGTCACAGAGAGTCATTTTGTGCTGAGCAAAGCACGCAGAAAGTCACAGAGTCATATTGTGCTTTACAGGAAAGCATAGAGTCATGCAGAGCTGTCAGTGCTGTAGAGTGAAACAGAACACAAGAGTCATTTTGCTTTGAAAGAATATGGAAATTCAAGCAGGTCTAAACTACATAAACATACAAAAGGCCATGCATGCTACTGTGAGATTGGCAAATGAGCAGGACAAGATCTGTAAATCCAGAAAACAAAACAAAAAACAAATCCTAAACATGGCATCAAGAAGCAAAAAACTGACTTGTAGAATTCAGTAACAGCAACAAGATATACAAAGTATATATAGATGAGAAACTAGAACATTACAGTTTAGTTATCAGCTATCAATATTTACAGCACAAATAATAGCAGTAACATACATAGCTTCATCCTATACAGAAGCATCAGAGAATCGGAATTGGAGAACCCAGAGTTGCTCAGATTGCACTCACCTTTATAGTCACGTTGCCCTTGGTAACTTTCCGCATGTTGAATCCTACAGTCGGTATCATATCTTCACTGAACTGACCTGACTAGGGAGAGAAGACGACAAAAAACAACCTATAAACTTATGTAACTACAACACATGTGGAGAACACGCAAAACACTCTATACTACTTATGGCAAACCTAAGACACCAATGCCAACACAGGTACTCCGTAGCCTCCGTGATGGCACTATGGAGCTATGCATCCTTGATATATAATTTTATGTTGATTTAGATCAGTCATGGCATTGCAGGATATTCAGTTGCAGTTATTATTTATTTATTAATTTATAAAATATATTACCAGGAAAGATACATTGAGATTTCTCTCGTTTTCAAGTATGTCCTGGGTCCACAAACCATTGCATTGATACATTAGGGTACAATAAAATACAAAAACAATATTAATACACAATATATACAAAATTTCACATAGAACAGGTTGGAAATATATAATCAACCATGACAGGTGCATTCTGTTTTGAGGTATGTAGAGAGGGATCTCTTAAAGGACCTTAGGCTTGGGGAAGATTTTAAAGTGTGCGGGAGGTCGTTCCACAATTGCAGTGCTCTGTAGGAGGAGGATCGGGCTGCTTTCTTTTTGTATTGAGGTAGACTAAATAAAGTGTTGGTACTGGATCGGAGGTTATAAGAGGTGGGAACAGTTGAGGAGAGCATTTTGCTCAGGTAGGGTGGGAGTTTCCCAGAAAAGCTCTTATACACATGGCTGGAAAGATGAAGGGTGCGTCTGGATTCCAACAACAGCCAGTTTATCTCTTTTAGTATGTCACAATGGTGGGTCCTGTAATTACATTGTAGCACAAATCGGCAAAACAAGTAATACAATGTAATGAGCTTATTAATATGGGTTTGCGGTGCAGGTACATATACTACATCCCCATAATGAATGATTGGCATCAGCATTTGCTGTACAATCTTTTCCTTTACTGTAGGGCTTAGGCAGGATTTGTTTCGGTACAGGGCACCTAATTTTGGATAAAGTTTAGATGAAAGTTTTTCTATGTTAAGAATGATAGCAGCAATTAGATAATAACTAAAATATTCACCACAGTTACATCCTATACTTGGACTAGTGGCTAGTCAGTTGGATAGGACCAGCACTATACAGGGTATGAACCCTTGTTACAATCACATGAGACTAAAGCTATTATCTAAATACAGAACTATTTTATCTGGTGAAAGATGAAAATTACACAGATGTTTTTATATTATAATAATAGGTCATGTAGATAAACTAGATACAATGTCCAAAAGATGTAAGCTCATGACTTTATAGCAACTAGAGTAACTGAGTAAAGTTACAGTGTTTCAAATGAAAAGTAAGCTACATTGCAAACAAGTCCTTGAAAACACTGCTCAGAAATGCTTCCGACAATTGAAGGGACACTCCAGGCACCCAGCACACTTCTGCCCATTGGAGTGGTCTGGGTGCCAACTCCCACCACCCTTAACCGTGCAAGTGTAATTATTACAGTTTTTATAAAATGCAATAATTACCTTGCAGGGTTAAGTCTTAGAACACGAAAAGTGTTTTAAACTACGCTGGACGTCCTCACGCTATGCATGAGTACCTTCGGCGTCGCCGGAATCCCCATAGGAAAGCATAGAATAATGCTTTACTATGGGGAGGTCTAATGCGCATTAGGTCTCCCCCGCCTGCTGACGTCGGCGGAGTGTGGGCAGAGCCTGACCCAGTGCCAAGGGACATCGGCGCTGGATTCAGGTAAGTCACTGAAGGGGTTTTAACCTCTTCAGCAACATGGGATGGGGGTTGGGAGGGAGAGGGGCACTGCAGGACCCTGCAAAAAACAAAAAAAAAAAAAAACGGATATGTTTTCCTGGCACCGGAGAATCCCTTTAAAGGACCACTATAGGCACCCAGACTACGTCAGCACAATGAAGTGGCATGGGTGCCAGGTCCCCCTAGTTTTAATCCTGCAGCTGAAAACATAGTTTCAGAGAAACTGTTATGTTTACATTGCATGATTCATCCAGCCTCTAGTGGCTGTCTCACTGACAGCCACTAGAGGCACGTCCGCGATTTCACAGACCTCCAGTATCAAAGCATTGAGTATTGATTTCCTATTGTCGGGATTGAATGTGCATGCGTGCCTCTGGATGCGCATGTGCATTCGGCTCCACTCGGGAGCTGACTTCGATAGAGGAGGAGGAGGTCACCAATGCGGATTAAGGTAAGCAAATAAATGGTTAATTAACCATTTATTTGCCAGGGAATGGAGTCCTAGTCACTGTTTAGATGACAAGGGCTCTATAGCATTAGGAATACATATTTGTATTCCTAACACTAAAGTGTTCCTTTAAGAGGGCTAAATAGAATACAGTGTATCAAAACAAAAAAGTATTCAATATGTAACTTTAAAAACTGATACATTAGACCTCTATATAACTGAACTAATATCTTAAAGTACAAGTCCCCAAAGCTCATGTATTATAAAAAGCTCTCAATCTACAGCTGATAGATTGCAGCTTAAAGGATCACTATAGTGTCAGGAAAACATAGCGGTTTTCCTGACACTATAGTGCCCTGAGGGTGCCCCCCACCCTCAGGGTCCACCTCCTGTGGCGCTGAAGGGGTTAAAACCCCTTCAGCAGCTTACCTTATTCCACCACCGGGCTCCCTCAGCGCTGGTGACCTCTCCTCCCCCCGCCGACGTCAGCGGAGCCGAATGTGCATGCACGGCAAGTGCCGCGCGCGCATTCAAGTGGTCAATAGGAAAGCATTACTCAATGCTTTCCTATGGACGCTCTGCATCTCTAGTGGCTGTCAGGAAGACCGCCACTAGAAGTTGGATTAACTCTGCAATGTAAACATAGCAGTTTCTCTGAAACTGCAATGTTTACATCTGAAGGGTTAAAACCTGAGGGACACTGCACCCAGACCACTTAATTGAGCTGAAGTGGTCTGGGTGCCTAGAGTGTCCCTTTAAAGGGACACTCTAGGCACCCAGACCACTGCAGCTCATTGGTGTCCCTGTCCCCCCTTAGTCAGGGAAACGGAAATATTTACATTGCAGAACGAAGACAACCTATTGTGGCTGTCTACCAGACAGCCACTAGAGGCACTTCCAGGAGTTTACCAGCTGCCTATCACTTTTCTCTGCTTGTAAGTCCAATACAATCTAATACTAAATGCCAGTCAGCTCACAACTACAAGCTACATCATCTAATCAACTATCCCCAAAAACAAAACACTTAACAGATAAACACAAAGCCCAACACGTGTTTTGGTGCTACATGGCTTCTTCATCACTGTGCAGCACTGCCCCAGGAAGCACCTTTAGTAGCCATCTGAGAATTGGCCAGTAAATGTATCCCTAAGCTGTAATGTAAACACTGCCTTTTCTCTGAAAAAACGGTTCATTGCAAAAAGCCTGAAGGGACTGATTATACTCACCAGAAGAAATACAATAAGCTATAGTTGTTCTGGTGACTATAGTGTCCCTTTAATTCTTGCAGAAGACTGGAGATTTGGTCAATAACACTACACTAGAAAATCACTTAAAGGATTTGGGTACCTATCAATTCGGTTACTACAACTACATATTAAAGAGTTACTCCAAGAATTTAACCACTACAGCCTGTTGTAGTGATGAGGATAACAATACCCTGGCTCTGTTCTCTTGTAATGGGGCAGAGCATTTTTTTGCAATGATCTGCACCATTACCTGGGTTCTCGACAGACCCCGAGGCTCCCTGGTGATCCAGTGATGCACTTACAGCATCTGAAGATCTACAGAAGCCATTTACTTTGCAATTCATAGGCCTAGAGAGTCAGCATGCTGCACTCAGACAGAATTGATATTACTCACCCCGGAACTCTATTTCCAGGCAGACTGGTGACACCCCGAGCACACTGCCAGAGGTGAACCCACAGAGGGGTTAAACTACATATGTTTTAAAGCAGCATGCTGCACATACAAATTCCAGGCACCATGACCACTTCAAATAAGTGAGTTAATGGAGAAAATATGTTACACTTACCTCACTAACCAAAGTATGCAGTATCTAACAATTTTAAATTAATTCTAAAGAACAACTTACAAACCGCACAAGGTCATACTGGTACATTGTTAATATGAAACCATAACATAAAAGCAAAAAAAATAAAAAACATTTTAGGTCAATTTTAAAACAAAAAAAGAAAGAAGAATGATGGCGAAGAAAGTATTTGTTAAAATGGTATTAAACAACTTAGGAACACACCAGGTACCATAACCACTACTTGAGTGCCAAGGCTTCCCCAATTGTAAGTAGTCAAACCATTTTAGAATAGTTTGACTTCTTACCTAAGGTTTGCTGTGCACCACTCTCCGTCTCAAATACCTTATCAAGAGAGAGGAGGGATCAGCTGACATTCTCAGCCAATGAGATTACCCTGCACTGCACGGCTTAGCCTAAAAGAGCTAATGTAGGCTGAGAGAGAGGAGGTGGTGAAAGGTTCTCGGCAGACACTAGGTAAGAAGTCAGGGTACTAAGTGGTCATGGTGCTTGAAGTGTTCCTTTAAGGATGAAATGTCACTTCCATTTTTGCACATCCTAAAAGCTAACTAAAAGTTAGTTCTAGGCTCTGCTAAAAATAATTTAAAATTCTTTATGCTTTAGTTCCTTTTTTGGACTTTCATTTCCGCCATCACCTCTGGATACAGTAGCAGATATCCAGTGGTTAAGGTTGTTTACTTTCCTAACTCTCTTTTTTTTTTTTATATATATGTATATATATATAATAGTACAAAAGGGGCATTAAAGGCACTAAATATATATATATATATATATATATATATATATATATATATATTAATTACTGATTTGACTCAGTGAGTGGGGCCTGTATCAGAAGGCAAAATCAGGGGATTGAAGAAAAAAAAAAAATAAATAAATAAATCTCTACACTGACCAATAAATTAATAGGCTATAAAGCATGGGGGCTGTGTGTTAATTTAAATAAAATTATGAGTTACATTTTAAAGCAAACCATAAGCCAAAACTTTCTTTATAATCCCAGGTGTGAAGTCTGGACTTTTAAACTGAATGAAAACACTATGTTCTAAGAATGCCATGTTATTATAACAACACAATTCCTAGCACTAGGGTAAAATTATCGCCAACCTGGACCCTTTTGGACCAAAATATTTTAGAGTCATAAAAGACCTAGAAATTGTTAAAAGAAAATGAAACATCAAGGCCTGTGGATATGATTTGCAATTTTCCTTTGGATGTTCTACATGGGAGGGATTGCCTTCACTGAAATGCAATCACACTATTATAAACCTTATACCCCATTAACCCTACAGTCATTGTTGTACCAATGCCAGCTCGTGTTTCATGAGTAACTTAGATATTTGTATTGGATTCATTTTAGATAAAAGATTAAAAAAAAGATGATGATAATAATATATATATATATATATATATCAATTCAGACCACAAAGTGAGACACTTGTAATTTATGGGAATCCATCACATTTATTGTTTTGTCCTTTATGGTAGTTGATCTACTTTTTGCCCACCTCTTCATTACACGTTACAATACCACTTATCTTGTGAAATTCCCCTATGTTATGGCCACACAATTTACTTGTTTTTTCTATGTGATTTCTATTTCCTCTGTAACCTTTAGACAATTTAGAGATGCTTAACAATTGCTGCCTTAAAGAAGCATCAGAAAGTACTCACTACATAAAAGTAACATAAGAGTAACTCAATACCAGTAAAAGTACCCCCACTGCATAAGAACATTCCATAGCATCAACCAGTTTCTCAAGAAGTAGCAAACTGTATAAGGGCTTACATAAAGTAAATAACGCGTGAAGCAGAGGATGCCTAATTTTAAACTGTTTATTCTATTAAGCACCTTATAATAAGGGTCTGTTTTGCATGTTTCTATTAAACACCTTATAATAACGGTCTATTTTGCACTTTTCTATTAAGCACCTTATTAAAAGGGTTAATTGTGACATACACAGTATATTTATCTTAAATGCACAACGCACCTTATTGTAACATATTTAAAGGACTTATCTAGTGTTAGAAATACAAAAGTGTATTCCTAACAATATAGTGCCCTCTGGTTCCCCTCGTCCAGTAGATAAAGGGTTCAAAACACCTTTATTTACTCACCCGATTCCAGCACCAATCTCCCTCGGCGCTCCGCCTCCTCCAAGAGGGGTACCTAGTGCACATGCGCAGCAGGTACATTAGGCCCTCCTATAGGAAACTATGGACTCAGTGCTTTCCTATGGGGATTTAACTGACGCTTGTGGTCCTCATGCAGAACCGGAGGATGACCAGCATCATTTAACGGACCCAGAGTCCTGTAAACTCCCGAATGCTGTATGGTGGCCGCCTGGTGGCTGTCAAAGCCACTAGAGGCTGTCTTAAATTGTAGTCTTCCCTTTAACCCCTTAAGGACGGTGGGCGTTCTACGCCGTCCTTAAGGAACCAGGTCTAAATGCCAGAGGGCGGCATAGAACGCCCAAACCGTCCTTTCTACTTACCCGGTCGCCGGCGATCGCAGTATGGGGACTCACCTGGGAGCCCACCTCCATCATATTCGGCCCCTCTGGGCCATGTGATTGCGAGGACCTCGAGATCACATGGACGGCATAGCCTTCCAAGGCATTGCCAGCAGGGGGAGTGCCTGTAATGACAGGTACTCTCCCTGCTGTCTAAAATAAATAAAAGTTAAAAACAGTGTAAAAATAAATAATATATACTTAGATCATATATATATATATGATCTAAGTATATATACACATACACTGTCTAAGTGTATTTTAATATATATATATATATATATATATATATATATATATATATATATATATATATATATATCAAAATACACGTACAATGATATTGATTAAATATATATATATATATATATATAAAATATAAAATAAATAAATCCGTAAATACGTTAAAAAATTAAATAAAAAATAAATATACACATGTGTAAATGCGTTCTAATTGTATTTAAAAAAAAAAAAATATATATCTATATATATATATCAAAATATATGTAGAACGAAATATATATATCTACATACATAAGTATATATATATATATATATATATATATATATATATATATATATATATATATATACACACATATATACATACACACACCTATATTTAAATAAAAATTATTTTCAAAAATTATATACACATATATATATATATATATACACACATACACACACACACGTATAATAATTCAATGTATATATTTATGTAATAATTTTACATAATAAGGTAATTTTATTAATTACAATTAGCAGGACCAGCCTGACAACCCAGGCCAAAAGTCCAGGGAATTTAATTTGCTAGCACTATATTTAACCCTGTAACTTTCCAAGACACCATAAAATCTGTACATGGGGGGTACTGTTTTATATGGAAGACTTCGCTGAACACAAATATTAGTGTTTCAAAACAGTAACATGTATTACAACGACGATATTGTCAGTTAAAGTGTCATTTTTTGCATTTTTCACACGCAAATGGCAATGGTTTTGAAACACTAATATTTGTGTTCAGCGAAGTTTCCCGAGTATAACAATACCCCTCATGTACATGTTTTATGGTGTTTTCAAAAGGTAGAGAGTCAAATATAAGGCTTGCTTTTCAGTTTATTCACATTGAAATTCGCCAGATTGGTAACGTTGCCTTTGAGACCATACGGTAGCCCAGGAATGAGAATTACCCCCACAATGGCATACCATTTGCAAAAGTAGACAACCCAAGGTATTGCAAATGGGGTATGTCCAGTCTTTTTTTAGTAGCCATTTAGTCACAAACACTGACCAAAATTGACTTTCAAATTAGTTTTTTGCATTAAATATTAACACTAACTTTGGCCAGTGTTTGTGACCAAGTGGCTACTAAAAAAGATTGGGCATACCCCATTTGCAATACCTTGGGTTGTCTACTTTTGCAAATGGTATGCCATCATGGAGGTAATTCTCATTCCTGGGCTACCATACAGTCTCAAAGGCAACGTAACCAATGTGGCGAATTTCAATGTGAAAAACTGAAAAATGTAACATGCTATATTTGACCCTGTAACTTCCCAAAACACCATAAAATCTGTACATAGGGGGTACTGTTTTACACGTGAGACATCGCTGAATACAAATATGTGTATTTTATTGCAGTAACATCAAACAGTATTATGACATTCACAGTTAGAATGTCACATAGAACTAAACATTTTTTTAAAATTCTTATTTTCTCCCATTTTTTTATATTTTATTCCTATTAAATTATGTTTTACACCTAAATATTTGATGTTAAATGAAAGCCCTATTTCCCCTGAATAAAATAATATATAAGAAGTGTGAGTGCACATAATATGAAAGAGGTGAATTACGCCTGAACAGACATATAGCGCAAATTCAAGTTTCTGTTTGTTTTGATCACAACGTGTACATTTGTCTCAGTCCTTAAGGGGTTAAATTAAACTGTGACTTAGGTTACCTAGCTTTAACATTTTATTTTTACTTTGTATGAATTAATAATAAAATGTGAAAAAGCTGGGGTCATACTAACACTGGTGTGTAACTGCCAGTTTGTGAATTTCTTGGAAGCAGAGCTAGTTAGGTTTGGTCTTCAATAAGCCCCAACAGGCCCACTTCAGATAATGAGAGGCTTAAAAAAGCAAAAAGCATAACAGAAACGCTGCAGTCACCGAAGGTTGAAGTCAGTAAATGGAAACATTAGTGCCAGGAAAAATTTGTTTTCCTAGTCCTATAGCTTCCCCCTTTGTCAAGCTTTCCTCTCTCCCCCCATGCTGCAGAAGGGGTTAATAACCACTGCAGCCACTAGAGGAGGAGCTAACCCTAGCATGTAATTATTGCAGTTTTTTTAAGGGTGAGGGTGATGGGACATTGCACCCAAACCACTTCAATGAGCTATAGTTGTCTGGGTGCCTACAGTGTTCCTTTAAAGAAGCGCTCTGTGAAACCATCAAAAGTGCCTCTAGTGGCTGTCTAGGAGACAGTCACTAGAGGCAGTCAATACCCTGCAATGTAAGTATTGCAGTTTCTCTGAAACTGCAATGCTTACATTACAGGGTTAAGGGGACAGAGACACTGTACCCAGACCACTTCAAAGATAAATCAGAACTTGTATAAACTGACAAGGAGGCATGCTCCCAGCTGTCAAGCATCCAATGCTGCTCTATGAGATGCACTGCAGGGCAGCTGTGTAAGAGCCCTGCATCCCAATGCTTCTTATAGTGTAACATCAGATTGTTTAAAAGACCATAAGTATGGATCATATCGCTACAGACACAGTAGAGCTGCAATGAAACACACATTTGGGTTTATTGTGTATAGAGGGCTATAAATATCAAGCCAAAATAGTTGAGCTGGAAATATATATTGGAGCCAGAGAATTTTTTCCAATTCAGCAATTCTGGTCCAACAGTGGCCATTCCAATGTTAATTTTCCACTATTCACAGTTAAGTAAATAAACTGCAGAAATACACAATACTTTCAAGATTATGCATTAATCCAGGAATATGTGGAAACCTGAAAAGAGAATTATACATTTAAGACCAGAACCCCAATAAGATAAATGATCAATTTCTGCTAGTTCTCTAGTCTGGATATTATTGGCCTAGCATTCACAAATCCCTTCTCAATTTCATATAATTCCTAGATTCATCAAACAGTGTGTGTCTCTTAGATAAAACAGGGATTTTGAAGGATATGATTTTGGTTATAGTCATCTTGTGATTCAGCAATGACGATTATAAATCCCTGATGTGTAATATAACACAGACCCCCACTCCATCAGAATACTGCAATGATCATGTGTTTCTAATATTAGTAAAGGGATTTGGTAGAGTCCTTTGACAGCTAACAACTGTCTTTCTTTACTCTTGTAAACATGGGATGCCTATTATCAGTGCATTAACCCAGACACAGAGATTAACTATTAAACACAACTCAATTAGAACATCCTGAGAAGCAACCAGGCCAGAAACAAAATATTCCTAGGTGTGTACAATAATTAGTTGTCAGATATGACATGTTTAAAATCTGGGAAAACCTGATTTTTTTTTTTTTCCAGCGCTACAGATATAATGTAGTCATGAGGAAGAAAGCCACATCTTCCCATCTTCCTGAAACACCAGGTACATTAACATCAGAAAAAGGCTAAATGATACAAATTGGTCCATAGAGAACTTCTGCCAGCATGGAATAACATGATTATTTAGCTATGGCAGCTCAATGTTAAAGAAACACTTCCAAGCATCATGACCACAACCCATTCTAGTGGTTATGGTTCCAGGTGTGTCTTGGTGCTAGAACGGTTTGACAACTTACCTGGGTCACCCAGGAGTTCAAATCATAATCTATCTTCTCTTGCAGGAGAACTGGAATGTAAGCAGGTCCAATACAATTCTTGGCCGAGGGTACTCAGCTAACGCTCTGAGCCGAAGCACAGTACTGCTCTGCTCAGTGGAGGACCTAGATTCTCACTGTTAAGTTCCTTTAAAGGACCACTCTAGGCACCCAGACCACTTCAGCTTAATGAAGTGGTCTGGGTGCCAGGTCCAGCTAGGGTTAACCCATTTTTTCATAAACATAGCAGTTTCAGAGAAACTGCTATGTTTATGAATGGGTTAAGCCTTCCCCTATTCCCTCTAGTGGCTGTCTCATTGACAGCCACTAGAGGCGCTTGCGTGCTTCTCACTGTGATTTTCACAGTGAGAGCACGCAAGCGTCCATAGGAAAGCATTGTAAATGCTTTCCTATGCGACGGGCTGAATGCGCGCGCAGCTCTTGCCGCGCGTGCGCATTCAGTCCAGGAGGAGGAGAAGAGGAGGAGAGGAAGCAGAGAGCTCCCCGCCCAGCGCTGGAAAAAGGTAAGTTTTTAACCCTTTCCCCTTTCCAGAGCCGGGCGGGAGGGGGACCCTGAGGGTGGGGGCACCCTCAGGGCACTATAGTGCCAGGAAAACGAATATGTTTTCCTGGCACTATAGTGGTCCTTTAAATTGCTAATATTAACTGGACAAGTCTTCTCATTTTACGATGGGATGCTTAAAGCATGGGTTGTTATGACGGCACAGATCATCACTGATTCTTTAGGGGTTAACCCCTTAAGGACCAAACTTCTGGAATAAAAAGGAATCATGACATGTCATGTGTCCTTAAGGGGTTAAAATGCAGAAGTCAGTAACCCTCAATGCTATGGGTATGTGGCTAGTGCTATCAGTACTGACTGTTAAATATCTGTCTGGTCTTGATAAACCAAGGAGTGTTATGAAACCCTCATTTATAAACACATTACATTTGGCAACTATGGTATCTGTGTGACAGTTACAAGAGACAATGAAACCACAGCTGTTCTGCAGAAGGCAATGTTTTCACTTGCAGGGTTCAAAGTGGGGGATTGTGACATGGCATAAAGACACAGATAACTAATAACTAAAAGTAAGCTAAAACTCAATATAATCCTAGAGTACTTTGAGAAGTGATGTTCCCCATTACTACTTTACAGTATGCCTTTCATTTTAAGGCTGCCTGCCGTGCGGCAGCGATTGACTGCAATCCTTATCATGATGATAACGTTTTGCTCATGGGAATTGTATAATGTATGTGCTTCATGTACAGCACTGAGATAAGAAGTACCTCTAGTGGCTGTCTGTGTGACTGCAATTAGAGTTGTTACTAGGCAGCAATTTAAACACAGACATTTCTGTGAAAAGCTTGTAGGGACATTAAGCTGTATTGGTCCTGGTGACTATAGTGTCTATTTAAAGATGAAGGCAATTGTCCAAGTACTAAACCAAAACAAAACCTAAAAGTTGACCAATAGGTCTGTTCAACCAAGTTCTGCATGGCATTTTAACCGTGAATTTCATAATATGGTTAGATTTTACTGCTATAAAACACATTTGTATGCTGTATGTCCCACAACTACAGCAATGCCTCCCATGTGCAGATTTTATGGACGTTTGAAAAGTTACAGTGTCAAATATAGGGCTTGCAAATTAAATCAACTGGTATTTCAGCTGGGCTGTTCTTATATGAAAAGCTAATATCTATTATTAATTATAGTAACAAATCTATAATTTCATTCTAAATGTATTTTCATGTTACTATATGGATAATTATATGTCTTCATGCATATTCTGGATTCTTGGATGCAAGTACATGCATTCTTAAAGGACCACTATAGTGCCAGGAAAACATACTCGTTTTCCTGGCACTATAGTGCCCTGAGGGTGCCCCCACCCTCAGGGACCCCCTCCCGCCCGGCTCTGGAAGGGGAAAGGGGTAAAAACTTACCTTTTTCCAGCGCTGGGCGGGGAGCTCTCCTCCTCCGTTCCCGCCCACTGAATGCGCCGCTCGGCTGCGCGGCGCATTCAGCCGGTCTCATAGGAAAGCATTTAAGGACGCTGGCGTGCTCTCACTGTGATTTTCACAGTGAGAAACGCAAGCGCCTCTAGTGGCTGTCAATGAGACAGCCACTGAGAATTAGGGGAAGGCTTAACCCATTCATAATTATAGCAGTTTCTCTGAAACTGCTATAATTATGAAAAAATGGGTTAACCCTAGAAGGACCTGGCACCCAGACCACTTCATTAAGCTGAAGTGGTCTGGGTGCCTAGAGTGGTCCTTTAATATGTGTAATTATGGTTTTTAACTCTCCCTTTGAAATGCTTTAAAGGACCACTCTAGGCACCCAGACCACTTCAGCTTAATGAAGTGGTCTGGGTGCCAGGTCCAGCTAGGCTTAACCCATTCTTTTATAAACATAGTAGTTTCAAAGAAACTGCTATGTTTATCAATGGGTTAAGCCTTCCCCCAATTCCTCTAGTGGCTGTCTCATTGACAGCCGCTAGAGGCGCTTGCGTGCTTCTCACTGTGAAAATCACAGTGAGAGCACGCAAGCGTCCATAGGAAAGCATTGATAATGCTTTCCTATGTGACCGGCTGAATGCGCGCGCAGCTCTTGCCGCGCGTGCGCATTCAGCCGCATGGGAGGAGAAGAGGAGGATCAGAGGAGGAGAGCTCCCCGCCCAGCGCTGGAAAAAGGTACGTTTTCACCCCTTTCCCCCTTCCAACGAGTATGTTTTCCTGGCACTATAGTGGTCCTTTAAGGACTAGAGAAAAGGAGGTTCTCCAGAAATCTAATTTCATCCAATAGATAGAGACAAAGAGAGATTTGTCAGATCCATTAGGCTTTCTAGCACATGCATCAATGAGAGTGTGTGGATTGTAGAGAAGTCAACTGAAATTTAAAGGGACACTATAGTTACCAAAAACAACTTTAGCTTAATGAAAACGTTTTGGTGTATAGATCATGCCCCTGCAGTCTCACTGGTTTATTCTCTGCCATTTGATTTAAAGGGATTCTCCAGTGCCAGGAAAACATTTGTTAAAACCCCTTCAGTGACTTATCGGAGTCAGGCGCTGATGTCCCTCGGCGCTGGTCAGGCTCCGCCAATGGTCGAGCACGCGCATTAGACCTCCCCATAGGAAAGCTTTATATAATGCTTTCCTATGGGGATATCGGCGACGCTGGAGGTCCTCACATAGCGTGAGGACGTCCAGCGTCGTTTTAAAACACTTCATGTTCTATGAACACGAAAGTCTCCTCTAATGGCTGTCTAGTAGACAGCCACTAGAGGAGGACTTAACCCTGCAATGTAAATATTGCAGTTTATGAAAACTGCAATCATTACACTGGCAGGATTAAGGGTAGTGGGAGTTGGCACCCAGGCCACTCCAATGGGCAGAAGTGCTCTGGGTGCCGGAAGTGTGTGTATATATATATATATATATATATATATATATACACATATACATATACCTTTGGCATTTCTAATAACAGTTCCAATTTTCAACAACTAACTCTGCTAGTGGGCAGTGCATTTAATGGACTTCCCTGCAACAAGCAGCATTCACATGTCACAGACTTCCCCTTTTACAAACAGTGTTATTCAATAAAGTGAGGATTCTATTTGAAATTCACTTCGAATTCTTGACAATTCTCACTTTAGTGAGTAACCCTGTGAATGTACATCCCACCTCCAGCACTGGAATCATACATACTGCAAGGAAGCACTTTTCATGTGCTGCACATGACCCTCAGGGTGTAGAAGTTGCATGGTGCTCTTGGTAAACAAATGTAAGATATATAGCTATACATAATATACAAAGAACCATGATGTCTGACCCTCAGCTGTTGTAGACTACATTTCCCTTGATGCTCAGCCAGCCATGGGGAAAGGTGATCCACAACAAATCGGAGTCCTACAGATCAGCCATTTTATTGTAGCCCATTGTTGGTTTCAGTTCCCAGGAGACCCCCCTCTCTCTCTCACCGCTATGACATTGACAAACGTGGTTTTCCCTGAGTGCTGCAGCCCGACCAGGGTGAGCTCCATCTCCTCCTTCCAGAAGAGGGAGCGGAACCAGTCCAGCAGCCGAGACAGGAGGGACAGCATCCCGGGGGCCGGGTGAGGACACCGGGGGGAGGAGGTACAGCTGGAGTGAGGGAGACACCGGAGAAACGGAGGGGGAGAGGAGGAGACTCTAGGAAGAGACCAGCGGAACTTGGAGCATCAGGACTGGAAAAACACCGGAACTATCGATGACAGTCCAGGGGGGAACCGGAAGTCTCATGACCTGGCACAGAATACTCGGCGCACCACCCCTTGCTGGGCCAAGTGCAATGCAGGACACCGCCACCTACTGGTCACACATTGTACTGCACCTGTCTGTTTACAGTGATGAAGTGCTGGATCTGCTTTCATTGTAGATTGGCAAAATTTAAGTAAAAGTTAATGATCTGGCAAAATACTCCGAATCACCTGTAGTCACAACTTGGCTATTTTTTTTTCTGAATTTTGCCATTCAGAATTTTAATGTGCTACAAGTTTGTAGATAAACTCTGCGAGTACAAACTTGAAGTTGGCTTCTTATCCATGCAGTTTTACTAGTCAACTCTGGTTTAGTGAACATGCTAACTGTCCCAAATATTAGAGGGTTTTTTTTCACCAGTGTCCATATTAAGGGAACGCAAAACTAAAGTCCATTAAAAGCACTGCACATGCAGTTTATTAAATTTGTTTGTGCTCCCCAAGGTTTTACTGGAGCTTTTCTACGAATACAAGAATGCTTAAAGGATCTTTATAGTCAACATATAAAAGCAAGAAAGACAGGTCCCCTAGCCTTCTTAATTGATTTCATGAACTTCCCATTACTAAAAAATAAATTTGAGCCCATTTTATCATATAAACTTACAGGCTGTGCTCCCTTGTTCGTCAAAATGATGCAGCAGGGCTCAATCAGACAGTTCTCTTAGAGAAGCGTCATAACGATCTGGTGCGCATTCACAGCTTCGCGCTGCACCAATCGCATTCTTCATATGAATGAACTGAGTGCTCTACCGCGCATGTGTAAGCTGAGCAGACTGACAGCTAAGCTCGCTGTCTATGCCCGCCCCCTCCTACACTACCCTCCAGCCCATAGTTTGTGTGTTTGCATAGAAACACTATATATAGAGATATCTCTATATATATAGTGTTTGTATACAAACACACAAATAGTAAATATTGCAAACATGAGTGTGAGTGAGAGATTGTGAGTGCGAGAGAGAGAGATTGAGTGTGAGAGAGTGAGTGAGAGAGTGAGTGTGAGGGATGGATCCATCCCTCTCTATCCCTCCCTCCATCCATCCCTTCATCCCTACCTTCCTATCATTCATCCCTCTCCATCCATCCTTCCCTCCATCTCCACCCATCCTTCCCTCTCCCTCCATCCCCATCCACCCTTCCATCCATCCATCATGGATAGAGAGGGAGGGAGGGATGGATGGATAGAGAGGGATGGATAGAGAGGGATGGATGGATTGATTGATGGACGGACGGATGGAGAGGGATGGATGGATAGAGGGGGATGGATGGATGGATGGATAGGGATGGATGGATAGAGAGGGATCAATCCATCCCACTCATTCTCTCTCACTCACTCACAACCACTCATTCACTCACTCTCTCTCACACAATCATTCTGTCACACACAAATCTCTCACTTACAATCTCTCACTCACGCACACTCACTCTCTCCCTCTCTCACTCACTCTCTCACACAATCACTCTCTCACACACTCACAATCACTCACTCACACACAATCTCTCACTCACCCACACTCACTTACTCACTTGGGGAGGTCCTTGTTCGTGAGACAAACAAGTCGGGAAATAATCCACGAATGCTCCCCCTGGTGGGCATTCGCCAGTACAAATGGCAGCCACCCAGGGAAGCACTCATTACTTGTTTCCCGTGCGGTTGGCAGTTTGACACTTATGTTGCGAGGTGAGAACATTCTAACCCAGCGTTCTAAATGGGGTGTTGGGGTGGTCCCCATTCGGGTGGCGAATGGATTCCCTTTGCGGAAGCACTCACGAAAGGAGAGTAAGCACAACACATGAAAATACAGGGGTAATACATGAAAAAGAAAACCCACAAACAGGCAGCGGTTCCGCCACACAGCTCCCTCTTAACCACAAGCCAGCATACACAGTCTGATCGGCTTGGGGATGTCCGGGGGAGTACTCACGGATCACTTCTTCAGGGCCGTCTGTCTTAACAACCCGTCGGCATTACCATTTTGCTTACCGGGTCTGTAGTGAATAGTGAAGTCACATGGCTGCGGGGCCACACTCAAACGTAGCAGCCGGACATTGTCTCCGGAGACCCGGTTAAGCCACACCAATGGGTTGTGATCTGTGAGTAAGGTGAATTGCTGTCCATAGAGGGAGTACTGCAGTTTTTTGAGCGCCCACACCACCGCCAGGCACTCCTTTTCGATGGCGGTGTAGGTCAGCTCCCGGGAGTAGTAGCTTTCTGCTGTAAGGTCCAGTCTACCTGTCTGGGCAAGGTCTTTCTGGTCAAGTCAGTAAGGGGCTTAGCTAGGGCACTGTAGTTGGGGGCAAACTTCCTATAATAGCCAGCCGTCCCTAGGAAGGCCATCACCTGGGTCTTAGTGCAGGGATGGGGCCAGCTAGCTACTGCCTCAACCTTGGCTGGCTCAGGCGTCTGGTTTCCACACCCTACCCGGGGTCCTAGGTACTGTACCTCGGCCATCGCTAGGTGGCACTTACTGGGTTAATCCTGCCTCCCTAATCCTGTCTAGCACAGCTCCTATATTTACTAGATGCTTCTCCCAATGGTCACTGTAGATGGCAATGTCATCCAGGTATGCACAGGCATAGTCCTGGAGGTCCTCCAGTAGCCGGTCCACCATCCTCTGGAAGGTGGCCAGGGCATTTTTCATCCCAAATTGCATTATTTCAAACTGGTACAGGCCAAATGAGGTGACGAATGACGACTTGGGAACAGCATCTGCCGCTAGGGGAATCTGCCAGTACCCCATGCACAGATCTATCATGTTAAGGCATCCTAACTTGCAGCTCATCTGTACGGGGCATGGGGTACGCATCTGAGATTGTCTTGTCATTGAGCCTCCTGTAGTCTCAGAACCTTGTGATTCCATCTCGTTTCGGGACCAGCATTACTGGGGAGGCCCAAGGACTCTGGGATGGTTCGATGACCCCCAGCCAGAGCATCTCTTGGATCTCCTGCTGCATACTCTCCCGTGTCGTCTCGGGGCTTCTGTATGGGGTTTGCAGCAGTGGTTGTTGGTTGGGAGTCTCTACCCAGTGGGTGGCCAGTGGGATAAACCTTGGCACATTGGAGAACATCTCCCTCTTTGCAGACAGCGTCTGCTGTGCCTATCTGCGTTTCCTCTCGGTTAGTCGGTCTCCTAGGTGGACCTCATCTATGGACCCGGCCTGAGCGCCATCCTCCAGGAGGTCAGGCAGGGGAATATTCTAAAAAAATCTTCTGAGGCTGGAGACATATGGTGGCTACATCCTCTCTCCACTCGCGGTAGGTCTTCAGCATGTTAACGTGTAACAGGCGTCTAATCCCTGGATCCGTGCGAGGACCAATCACATAGGTAGGGTCACGTTTCTGCTCCACTACCTGGTATGGGACCTGCCAGGCAGCCTGTAGCCTGTCATGCTAGACGGGTTCCAAAACCATCTACCCGGCCTGAAAGCTACGGCTCCTGGCTCCCCGATCATACCAAGTGCCCTGGCACCTCTGGGCCACCTGGAGGTTCCCAAGCACATGCTGAGTGGGTTCCTCCAGTTGGTCCCTAAACTCCAGCACATTTGGGATAATGGGGGTCCCTTCCTGTTCCCCATCTTCCTCCCAGTGCTCCCGGACAAGGTCTAGGGGTCCTCTAACCCTCCGCCCGAACATTAATTCAAACGGGGAGAATCTTATGGATTCCTGGGGCACCTCCCGATATGCTAACAGGAGATGCGGCAGGAATCTTTCCTAATTCTTGCGAGTCGCTGCAAAGGTACAGAGCAGCAGCTTCAAGGTGCCATTGAAGCACTCGCACAGGCCATTGGTCTGGGGGTGATAGGGGGAGCTTAGGATCAGTTTAATGCAGCATAACCTCCACAGTTAGTTGGTCATCTCGGCAGTAAACTGGGTACCCTGATCCAAGATAATCTCCCGGGGAAAACCCATTCGGGAGAACACCCACATCAGGGCTTCGGCCACAGTCTTGGCGTGAATGTTGCTCAGGGCGACTGCCTCAGGGTACAGAGTTGCGTAGTCCACAATGGTCAGAATGTACTTCTTTCTGAACAGGCTAAGCTTAGCCCGGGGATAGATGGGTCCTCAATGATCGGTAGGTGCTGGAGCGTGGCCTTGTGCTGATCGCCCCACTTCCCCACTCTCTGGCAGACATCACAGGACTGGCAGTACTGCCTCAGATCATTTGAGATGCCTGACCAGAAAAAGCTTTGGGTGAGCCGATGCTGAGTACAGCCTTTGCCCAAATGCCCTGCCAGGGGAATATCGTGAGCTATCTTCAACACCGTATGCTGATATTTCCTGGCGACACCAATGGTTTGGTGGTAATAGGAGCTGTCCCTGACCTCTCTTTCTCCACTATGCGGTATAGCAGTACTTTGTTCCAGGTAAACTGTTCCCCGTCTTTCCCCAACTGACCAGTGGCCACCCGATCTCTATACATCTGGAGGGTAGGGTCTGATACTACTTCCCTCCGAAACTCGGCAGGGGTATCCCCAAGATAAGAGCAATGGGGGACTGCGGGGAACTGGGAAAAGGGGACTACCCTGGGGGGCCTGCTTACAGTGTCGACTATGTGAAACTGGGGTGTGGGGGCGGGTACGTGTGCCTACCTGGGCCTCATAGTGTGAGCTGTGCTGGGGGGTGCGGGCTTGTTGTCTGGTCATCACTAGGTTGGTCTCATCAGGAGCCTGGAGGGTTGCATAGGTGGAGGTATGGTGGCCCAGGTCATTTCCGAGCTGGTAGCTTGTCCATGAGCCCGACCTCCACTCTCTGATCTCTGGTGACCCAGTCGAGGTGAACATGGGCAGTGGGTAAGCAGTGGATGGCTCCCCCTGCTACCCAGACGGCGTCGGTTCTCCCAGCCTTCTCCTCCTCTGTAATGAGCTGGGGTCAAACTAGAGTCAGGGTGTCTCCGGTGTCTCGCAGCCCTTACACAGTGCGTCCGTTCAGCCGAACCAGCTGCCTGTGAGAGTCCCGGTTGTCGTGGCAGCCTGGATGGGGTTAACCTCTTGCAGAAAGGGCCAGGCTTCTTCGTGATGGTTTTGAGTGTCCGTGGGGGCAGGTTGCTAGCAGAGAGTGGCTGCCCGAGGGGCAAAAGGGGCCACCGGGCGGACCCACTGGGGTC